CTACTCTGCTGGTTCGCATAGAACTGGTTATAATCCAACCGTACAACCAGGCACAAAAACTGCACCGTCTCAGTCGCGCTATAAAAGTTCAGCGCGTCGATCAGAAGCTTCAGATGGTAGATAAACCCGTCCTCAAATTCGTTCAGCCGCCGCATAGCCTTTTCAATCTGTTGGACCTGGCTTAACGGTGCCATTGCCGCTGTCTCGACATCCAGCTGCGTCTCCATCGCCATCAGTGCACGCGTGAACCGGTCAGTATAGTTCGTGAACTTGATACACGTCGACATGAGCTTTGAATAGATCTAGAGGCCGTGCATATGAAAGGCTTTAGAAAACTCCGTTCTTCTTCGTCTTCGATGGATCTCCTTATTGCTTCTGTCCCCCGAAACTGGCATGTCATGTAACACACGTACCCTCAGTAACTTGGAGTTCGTCAACATGCACTGGTTCAAACATGTATCCAAGAAATCAGAGTGAATTTGTAGCACCTGGTCCACAGTAGAAACCTTCGCCAGCTTGGATGCCAAATCTCTCCAGTTGGGTTCCAGCACCTCAGAGCAGACATAGTACGCAAACTGCTGCACGAATGTCAACATGCTTGCGCGTAGACCATACACTCGTCCACGCCACTGCTTCAGCGCGGGCGACGCATTCTTCCAGACACTCGACTTTGCGTGCTCTGTCCAGGTATTGCAAAGGACTTGTTCGCCGTGCTTGAGGTACAAGAGATGACGGAAGAGAAGCTGGTACTTTGTCAGGGCTTTGCGAGATATCACAAGTGATAATGGGAACTTGACCGAGTAGTCCAAAGTGAATGCATCAATTCCTATATTATTATAAAACGTTAAAGTACCGCTGTTAATATCCGCATTTAAGACTAGTATTACAGTCCATGAAGAAGTTGTTCATGCAAGCATTAAGTACCTGCGAGAGATCCCTTGGTTTGAGTAGGGGGCTCCACAAGAGCGGAAGTGACACCCTCCATCGATGTCCCACCAATCGCCTCATCCTGCCAAGAGCCATTGGAGACATGTTGCTGATGACCTTCGCCACTGTTTGCGCGGCTGCGTGTTCGTGCCTTGAATGCCTTCGACTCTACACGGTCACCCAGACCTAGCGTCTGACCCTGTGCCTGGCCTTTGATGCTGATGATCCGAAGCAGCTGGTCCACCAGACTGAGATGAGTCATATCGACCTTGAGGTCCTCCTTAAAGGTGTCGTTAACGGTGACAGATGATGGGTTGCGGAGGACCAAATCCAAAAGTGACTGCAATTTCGTTAATGACACTTCCCTCCATGGCCGCTTTAACTCGACCGAGGCAAGGTCCAAAAAATGAGTAAAGTAATCCGACTGGTCCAAGAAGAAATATCTCTTCATTGACCTAGAATAAATAAAAAAACGTGCTTGTTAGAGTGTAGTTGCAGAGTGTAGACATGCCAAAAATGAAGGAAGGTGGCCTAAACACCACTAACCGAAGTCGCCCGAGCAGCTGCTTGTCCTCCAACAGTAGATCCAGTAGTTTCCTATTTGCGTATTGATATGCTTCATCAATCGTGTCCACCAGTCTGCCGCCGCTCAACGCCGCCAAAACATCGTTGCGTTCTGTGTTGTTCGAGGATCCAAAGGCCTGACTCGTAGCAGGGTTCGATTGCTCAGCATTGGAACTGGAGAGGTGGATGCCGCACTCCCTGATCACGTTCAAATATTTCCCTGCGAGCAAGATCTTTGTTTTGTGAGGGACCAGGAACGAGGGTACGTAGTTTCCCCTAATCGTGTACCGCTGTTCCCAGTATGCGTCGGCATCATTAAAGTCTTGCTTAAGACCCTCCTTTTTCACCCTGCGACTCTCTACAATCATGAATTCTTCGTATGGGTCCCGGATCTCGCCCTTATGGATCCATGATTCCAGCATAGCAATGTAAGGTACAGAAGCCTTGTTGAGTAGAAATCCGTACAGCTTTTTCGTCACTGGATCCCTAAAAACCGTTAGTAAGCGAAGTAGACGCATGGTGAGTATTTGAGAAACAATCTGAACAATAGCATCCCGAAGTCATAGAACGTACCCACTCATGTTGAACATGCCAGCAGCAATAATAGCGAGAATGCTGCCTCCTTTGCTCTCCAGAGGAATTCCTTCCTTCGGGTTTAATAACGCCTCTATATCATCGGCGGGGGGCTCCTTCCTGCCTGCTTCCCGTATTACGCCGACGAGGACATCCAGAGAGCTCAGTGTCTGCATTGTTGGCTGAATGTAGTACCACAGCTTTTGGAGGGTAAAATCAGGTGAAGAGCGGAATTGAGTTTCCAGCTGGGCTATCAAGATCAGGTATTCCTAAAGGACGAACATCGAAACCAGTGACAGTCAATCTCATTGTACTGCAGGCGAAGACAAGGTGAGGCATCCTTGACATTAGCCCATACCTTTAAAAGATTCCTAATTGCAGCGCAGAGCGCATGACTCACGAATCCGTACTCAAACCGTGAACGCAGCTCAACAAATGCTTCTAGTGACAGATATATAGAGGCGAGTGGTAATATCCTTGATACAAGGTCCCGCAATGAGGGGTCTATTAAGAAATGATGATGCAGGTATAGTCAGCTTCAGAGTCCAAAGTCATGTCGAGTATTTGCATATCGTCAAGCACGGCTGCTTACCAAGGCTTTCATCGGACTTGAACTCCAAATGAACATAATCCATATCCTGATCCTTGGCACTTATGGATGGGTGCACCATAGTGATATATTTTCCCTCGATACCCTAGGTGTTCGCCATAGATGAGAATACAAATGTTAGATAGTTTGTAAATAGCGATCATGTTTCCTGATGGGCGCGCCAATGAGCTGCGGACTTAATTCTTTTTATCATACCATCATTGTAAACAGCAGGTCTTCGATGATGGCGCTCTCCTGCATTTGAAGACTCAGTGTCCCTGCTTTTTGAGGCCCCCCTTGCTTCGAAAACTACAAGGCAATAGTGGCAATGAACTGATTAGTGATGCCTGCTTTGGCTGAGGTCTTTCTCCCAAGATGCTGCAGCTGGTTGGTCTTATTTACTTTGTCAGCATCCAGGCGTGATCTTGACGCCATCCTGGAATTCAGGGGTGCCCGGAGATGACTGTTCTCGTCGTGTTGGGTATCATGGCCTCTACCTGTTATTTCCGTAAGATGAAAGCAGTGGTTGTGAGTTGCGCTGTCCTGCAGGTTGCACAGACAAAGACGCCTATGCAAGAGGATTGACCGAATGCTGACCTGTAGAGTCCTTGGTAATCTTTGAGCTGATCTTTCGCAGAAGGTCATCTGCGAACACTCCAGACATATCCCTGTTCTTAACCGGCATCGAGTCAGAGCGCGCCCGCATTCCAGAGCTGCCTTGGGGCTTTGTACTGCTCTATGCAATGCATGCAAGCGTTTGAAATCCGGATGTTAATATAGTGTATCCGCCATATGAAAAAAACATTTCGAAAAGATAGGCAATATCGCACCTGTGTGTCACTGTGCAAGTTCTTGAAGCCTCTCCTAGATGGGTCTGTTTGCGACTGGCCTGCAGGTGCAGCTGCCATCCTGGGAAAGGTGTGTTCCTGTAGCGTCGACTGTGGTGCAGATCTCTGAGGACGGCCTGTCATAGAATCAATTCCGTTGCCCTTGCTGTCATGTAAGAATGGTGATTTGTAACTTTGAAGAGTCCTTCAGAGAGAGGTCTTTTTCTCGGCGTAGCAGTGGTCGGTAGATCGTTTGCTGCGTTGCTGCTACAGAAGGTTGGTTGTCGTGTCTCCTGTTCGGTTGACTGTCGCGTCGAGGTTGAAGGTTGAAGGTAGAAGTGTGCAGGATGCAGCTAATGCGTGTAAAAAAAAAGTGGCTCGCTCCCGCTAAGGTGACGTATTACTACCCAAATCGGGAAATTCTTCTTGAGAACCTCCGGTCTGGCAGTCTTACCCCTGGGGCCATGTCGATAGTCAACTGCATATCGTTCTTCTCTTTCTTAACGTTCATCTGATCTCACTTCCGCTTTTCGTTCCCTCCCTCGCCCGCTCCTTCCCCTCATGAGCGCATTCCTCACACGAGCATCCCTTTCCAGGAACGGACCCACCCGGGCTGCTATCCTCCCAAGACTTGTCTCGGGATCTCGACATTCTACCCACGCAACCCTGACCTCGAGCACTGCCAAACAGCGATTGCAGGCTCGATTCTACTCTGCAGACAAACCGCCTGCTCCAAAGAATAACAACACCACCAACAACGGCAGCAATAAGAACAACAACCATGGAGAGAATAGCAACAAGGGCGACAAGGATAGCAACCCTCAATCGTTCGAGAATATTTTGGGCAAGATGCTGCGCGATGCAGCAAAGAATTTTGAGAACAAAGGGCAGCCCCCCAAGAACCCAGGAGGCAACAGGAACACCAACAATTCTGGTCGCAACAGCAACAACAACGGCAACAACAACAGCAATCAGCCTCATGGTCACAAACCCTTGTCGGACGGGAATAACAACAGCAACAACCAGAACTTTTACACCATGACCCTCAATCCCGGCACCGTCTTGCCGATTGCCTTCACTTCTTATGTCCTCTACAAAGCTATGTCGCCCTCAGATATGAGCCGAGAGATCACCTGGCAGGACTTTCGGTCGACTTTCTTGGATAGAGGACTGGTGGATCGGCTCGTGGTCTTGAACAGGAATAGGGTCAAGGTCTATCTGCGTCACGACGGACCCGGACCCACTTCAGGAACATTGGGTCAGCCCCATGGAACAACTTACACCTTTAGCATTGGATCTGTCGAGGCTTTTGAGCGCAAGCTGGACGAGGCGCAATCTGAATTGGGCATTCCTGGATCAGATAGGATTCCGGTATCGTACAGGGACGAGGTCAATCTCTTCGGAACTTTGATCCACTTTGCGCCTACTCTGCTGCTAGTCGGCGTGCTTGTCTACATGGCCAAGAAGGGCCCCGGAGGCGGTGGGCAGGGTATTTTTGGCGTTGGAAAGTCCAAGGCGAAGCTCTTCAATCAGGAGACCGATATCGCAGTCAAATTCAAGGATGTCGCCGGTATGGACGAGGCCAAGCTCGAGATCATGGAGTTCGTCAAGTTCTTGAAGAATCCTGCAGCCTATGAAAAATTGGGAGCAAAGATCCCCAAGGGCGCCATTCTGAGCGGTCCTCCCGGAACAGGAAAGACGCTCTTGGCTAAGGCAACGGCAGGCGAGGCTGGTGTTCCTTTCTTGAGCGTATCTGGATCCGAGTTCGTCGAGATGTTCGTTGGTGTTGGAGCTTCACGTGTCCGCGATCTCTTTGCGAGCGCCAAGAAGCATGCGCCCTGCATTATCTTTGTGGACGAGATCGACGCTATTGGAAAGGCACGTGGGAAGGGCGGCCAGTTTGGCGGCAATGACGAGCGCGAGAGTACGCTGAACCAGCTGTTGGTTGAAATGGATGGTTTCGGATCGAACGAGCATGTTGTTGTCCTTGCGGGAACGAATCGACCGGATGTGCTGGACGACGCCTTGATGCGACCTGGTCGTTTTGATCGTCATATTGCCATTGACCGTCCGGATATCAAGGGTAGATGCGACATCTTCAAAGTCCATCTGCGACCCATCAAGACAAACGAGGACATTCCGAAGCTGGCACAGAAACTTGCTGCATTGACACCAGGATTCTCGGGAGCTGATGTCCACAACGTTTGTAACGAGGCAGCCTTGATTGCTGCCAGACATAACCAGGATACTGTCACAGCGGCTGACTTTGAGGCTGCGATCGAGCGTGTTATCGTAGGTCTCGAAAAGAAATCGAAGGTGCTTTCGCCAGAGGAAAAGAAGACGGTCGCATATCATGAGGCTGGCCATGCCGTTGCGGGATGGTACCTGGAGCATGCGGATCCTCTTCTCAAGGTATCTATTATTCCACGCGGAGTTGGCGCTCTGGGATATGCTCAGTACCTGCCCAAGGACCAGTATCTGTATTCGACTCAACAGCTCATGGATCGCATGTGCATGACTCTTGGCGGACGCGTCTCGGAGCACATTTTCTTCGGCACCATCACCACTGGCGCCCAGGACGATCTCCAAAAGGTCACCAAGATGGCCTACGCTCAAGGTAAGAGCAATCTATGAATGCTGCGCTGCTGTGCCATTGTGCTACTGTCACACAAAGATGGAATAGAAACGAATCTCTAACGCTCTATTTTTCCTCTTTGTAGTTGCAACCTATGGTATGGACTCTGAGCTGGGACCGCTTTCATACGGCAATCAGGATAACAAGGATTCATTCACGAAACCATACAGTGAGCAGACTGGTCAGCTCATCGACAACCAGGTCCGGTCCTTGATTGGCCAGGCCTTCCGTAAGACCACCAATCTCTTGACAGAGAAACGTGTCGATGTTGAGAAGGTGGCGAAGTTGTTGATGGAGAAGGAGGTGCTGAACCGTTCGGACATGGAGCGTCTCCTTGGCAAGCGGCCCTTCCAGGACAAGTTGCACGAGTTGTTGGGAACCGAGGTCACCCCACAGGATGCGATATATATTAACCCTGACTCTTCGTCAGCACCATCAACAACACCCTCGCCTCCTACAATCTCATAGAATCATAGAATGGGGATGCTCATAGACGACCGCACCCTACCTTGAATCCAAACGTATATTTCTCAAAGACATGACATGATAAAAGAAACGACAATCTAGACTCAATAGATGCACCTTACCGGCTTTCACGGTCAACACATACTCACTAATGTTTTATTTTCCTTTGTCCGTTTTGTTGTTCCCTTATCATTCTTCCACTGTGTTTGGTTGCTTTCGAGTGGGCATTGAGACGTCGCTGGCGTATCATTTCTATAATATAAATTTTGTGGCCATGATGCGTCTGACTTTTGCAAAATTCTCGGGCTTATCCATATCAACATGTGCGCATCCAACATCGTGCGCCTCAATCGTTTCATGGACAAAAGGCCTCTAGTCTCCTGGATCAGATCGCCGCACCCTCATGTTGCTTGTCCATAGCTTGAAGAAGACCTTATCGCCCCCGGATACTATTCTGGAGGACATTATGGGCCTTGTCGTATATCATCCTGCTCCCCTCCGCTGTATTGTTGTCTGCGTATTGAGTCTGAAGCTAAGAATGCGCTTCTGCATCCTCTTGGTACTGGTTTAACTCCTTTGCAAGCTTTGAGCGCTCCGTAGCTGTGTCCACGATAACCACCAGGGCTACCTTCACGCCCATCTTCTCGAGTTAATCAGCCATACAGCGGGTAATACTACCTCCGAAGGATCATCCCGATAAACGATATGACGCATAAAGCTACACACGGCGAATTTACTCAATTCGGCTTCAAGACCGGTGGCAGAAGAGAAGACACAGAAGTCCAATCACAGAGTGGGGGCAGATACGGCGGTGCGTTGTACAAAAGGAACTTCTTGATCTAAACGAAGACAGATTACTAAGTGTTATAGATCACGAACATTTGCTTCACAATACACACATATTGTGGTGAACAGATCCTGTGGAGAGCGAGAGTGGCAATGAGGGCGAGGGCAAGGGCGCATGTAATACAGGCGTTCAAAAGAGTGGGCTTTTTTTTTATCGTCAAAGTTGCCGATAAATTTTAGGAGGCTGACTCTGTCCCCTTGATGCATGGACTTCCTCCTCTCAATGGGCATCCATGGACATCAAAGTACAAAAATGACGGTCGCAATTATCTTCCGTATGGATGTGAGGGGCTGCTTTCGTTCAAGACGAAGCACCTGCACAGTGCTCAAATCCAGAAGACACAGCCAGCTTCTGCGAAGATCTGATAAGATCCATGCAAGGTCCGACTTGGATGTCCAGAGTTTAACCTCTTGTATGCCTCATTTCTCGGACCTTTTTGCTAGCGTCGCATTTTTTTTTTTTTTCATCCGATGAGTCTAGCTTGAAAATACATCCGAGTTTTTACCCGAATAATAACTGGAATCCCATTAGTAATAGCGTCAGGCGATCATGCCTTTCATATTCTTTCGAATGAGGGTTGCACACAATGAAAACGTGGCAATATTGTTGGTGTACCAAGAACCGTTGAACCGTGCACCCATGCAATGTCCCCCGAACAAGTTGTTCTTATAGCACAAGTTGCCGGAGCTGCTAGTTATATGAGTTACTAGGGTCTAGAGATTATCCCACAATGGCCGGAAAGTGCACATGAGCCCCTCATTGCAGTTTTTGTCGCCATCATCAATAACGAGGATCCCAGAGCTCCATGCATCCCATCCTAAACTATCACAGGGCGACAAAATGCGTATGGATAATTACAATGTATCCAATTTATCTTTAACATGCACATCCTTAGCTCCAAGACATGGCGCTCGATCGACCACGCCTCCGATGCATTTCAGAAAATCAAGTATTTCCAATAACAATGTGCCCCATGAGGATGCTTACCGAAGAACAAGAAGCCTAGTCCATACCTGTATGGGCATGAAAAAATCATGCCGCGCATTTTCACATTCCTTATTTGAAGTTCTATTGGTCGATTTTAGCCCCTGGCGGGAAATTTTGTTTTTGAAACGCGCTTATGTAGTAGCACACGTTTTTATTGGCTCAGCACCCTACAGAGACAAGAGGCAGGGGCCCGTGTCCGACAAGGTAAAACGCGTTCAAACGCGTTAGATGTTAGCCCCCCTAATATCGGCGAGCAGTAAAAATAAATAGGCCTAACATGCACCATACACCGCATGCTTTACCCGAGGGCCGAAGAGGAGAAAAGATTGCGCGGTGTGGAATTTTCTATCCACTAGGGGAGACTATAAAAGTCGATGGTCAGTCTGCACACCCGGGCACTCTGCACTCTTTTCTTCTCCTCTTCCGTTCTCTCTCTCTCTCTCTCTTCCTGCCCTCACGCGCATACGCGGATACATCCACATTCATCTCTGCCTTCCTCCCTCGACACTGTTCTTACCATATCCTACTGCTATCCATACTGCTCCTCCACAGTTCCTGTAATCATCACTCCTTCTCTCCATCACCGCAACTTCATCTTCTTTTTACTTCGACGCTCATTTTTTCTGTTCATATCCCATTCTCCTGTGCATATCCACATTCTGTCGCATACCACCTCCACCAGCACACCTCCGTATACGCCTTTCTTTGTCCCTTCGCTGAATACCATTTAACGGCTGCGACCTACCGACATCGTCTCTCTCTCTTTCTCTGTATAAAATAACCACACTCCCTCCGACCAACACACACCACCGCAATGTACAAGCAAAGCAGTGCTCGCGTTAGGCTGTTGGGAACAACCGCCTGCCTGTTCATTGTCTTCTTACTCGCCATGATCATCATGGGCTCCATCGGCATCAACGGCAACTATACACATGCGAACGGCGACAGCGGATGTTTTCTCTACATGACCATGGATGGCAAAGTGCCCTCCTTTAACAGCAGTAAGAAGAGAAAAAAAAAAAAAAAAGGGCCGATTTTCAGTAGGCTCGTTTTGATTACACTAAACTAGCTCGCTTACGAACTTTACTAACAAATTAATTCCCGATTTTTTCTTTTTTGGTGGCGTCTTTTAGCGTACTGTCAGTTCCCAGTGATTGGTGCCGGCATTGTCAGTGTCTTTGCAGTTCTTTTCCTCGGCTACTGGGCCGCGGTCGTACAGCGCTATGATGAATTCGCTCCCACCATCGTCTCTAAGATCTTCATGGGCTTCAGTGTCCTCTTGGCCGTGTTCGCATTTTCGATCTGTGGCGAGTTGGGTATCGGACTCAATATTGGCTGTCGCTCCGTTACCTCGGGCCAGGGCCTGAGCAAGTGCCAGTCTACAGTGGATAGCTTCCAAGGTATGTGTGTTACTCACTAGCATCCGTATAAGGATAGGCTCAGCAGCACATAAAACACTCGGACTTTATTTTCTAATCCGACTTTCATCCTTTCTTAGCACTCAACACTGCACAAGTGTCTGCGGGTCTGATGGGAGGCTTCTTGCTGGTCGCCTTCACCCTTGAACTTATCCAGTACAAGAATTTGCCAGAATACGACACGGATCCATACAATACTCAGGAGGCATACGCCCACCAGAACCCATCCACATCCGAATACCAGGCATAGGCGTCCTTTCGAGGCCCTACACGCCATGATCATCCACCTACTACGTTAACGAACCCATGTCATATGTACCAATGTCTATAGTCTCCTCAAATTCCCTCACTAGTGTATGTCTATGCAAAATAAATCCATTATCTCTTAGCATCTTAGCATTTCAGCACATTCAGGCGAAGTGTGGCCTGTTCAAAGCATACGCATTTCTTTTGTTTTATTCGTTCCACGACCAAAATACCAAAATGCCTTCGTACATGCCCATTCTATTCCTTCGAATGGCATGCCGCTTCATGTTCCATCGTCCTTTTCTCATCCTTCCTTAAAATAAGGATCCAGCCATGCGAGAGATTCCCCTGCTCATCAATCCGCCCATCAGTCCACCAGCGCTAGAGCCACCCAACATGTTCGAGGCGAATCCTGAAGCCCACTTCTGCTTCGCATCCTTGTCGCACTGTGTGTATCCAATCACGTTCGCAAAGTTCAGCGCCAATGCGACCGCAACGATCAGCAACCAGGTCAGCTTGAAGGTCAGGATGCACAGAATTCCAAACACCACCCAGACCGCTGGAGCCACATACAGGCCTGTCCAGAACAGGCGCGAGTCCACGGGGTTGAGGGGGCGACTTGGCTAATACATTTGTGGACGTAGAGAGAGAGAGAGAGAGAGAAAGCGTAAAGCAATGGTTTAGTTCTCTTTCCCTATTTCCTTTCCTTTAATTTCCTTTGCTCCTTTGTCCCATTGTCCTTTTGTTCCTTGACAGTTCCCTTGTGTTTGTAACTTACGTCGCGGGACTCGAACAGCCATGTGGTCGTACCATCCTCCTTGTTCTCGTTCCACCATCTCAGGCCGACCAAGAGCCGCCCAGAGACATTCTTGACCGTCCAAAAGTCGAACACGAGCATAAGCACGCACAGGACAAAGATCAACACAAAGTTGTCCGTGAACCAAGTTCCGAAAAAGTAGATACAGATCGCTGCAATGCGGAACAAAAAGTGGAAAATCAGGCACACCGGATGACTATGTCATAATAAAGAAGGCAAGAGAGTAGACAAACGTTGTTAGAAGAGCTGCATTGCTTGATAAATAATAAAAAAAAAAAAAAAAAAAAAGCGAAGAGCGTAACTCGCTTGTTGCGAAGTAAACTGTCGGAAAGTCATCCCTCCATGTCCTCCATAGATATCACTATCTTGTTCCAGCAGGGCTTCAAACAGCTTGGTGATGCTATTCATCCACTGCAAACCACATCCCATATATCAACTCCTGCTCTGAATCCCCATGTCAATCTAGATAACTTCGTCGTCGCAATCCTGTACGTGTGTCCATGGCATATTTGTCGTCCTTTTTATCCTTCTCCAGCCATTGTTTTTGCTGTTGACCCCTGAATAATACCTCGACTGCTTAAGAAGCGAGGGCTGGCCGCCGGCCTCAAGATCTGGCTCGAGGGTGTTGGTGCCCATTGGCTGTGCGTCTGATAACAGATTCTGTCGGTCTGTTGTCGATGCCTGAATAAAACGAACAGTGATGCAAAAAAAGACTGGTCGTGGTTAGGATACAAGGCTATTACGGTATCAAGTCATTGCCTGCAATGAGGTCCAATGACTATGGATTTACCATCGTGTGTACGTGTGTGTATGTGTGTGTGTATATGTATGTGTATGTGTGTGTCTTCGTGCTGAATCCTCCGTTCTTCTGCTCCTGTTGATCCGATGTGTCGAGCGCTAGTGTCCTGTGTGAAGCAGCAGATGATGTCCAGCAGAGATGGCAGGTTGAAAGAGATGAAGCTTGGCGTGTGGCTAATTTTAGGCACAGAATTGACCAGGCGCGCCACCCTACAAAATACCCGCAGAATCAAGTAGGAGAGCGAAAGAGAGCCACTCCAGTCAAACAGTATCTCTTCATATATCCCGTACACTCGTATCCATTCGAACAACTGCTGTCTAGTCTATTCATAATCAGATAATTATCATGGGCTTCGAATGTCCCAAACACATCGACAACGGGTCATCAGTCCACCAGAGCTCGCAGCACCAGCAACGTCGGCAGTACCAGCATTACCAGTAGAATGGAGATGTGAGCCAGGGTGCGCTTGTGAATTCATATAACCATCTGGAACGCATGGGAGCAGGCCAGAGATTGGCCACGGGTATGATGGATCGGTACGTTTTACCTTCTGTCATTTTTTTAGCGATTATTCTTTGGAACACTCAGAAGGGGGCTTTAAGGGTTCTGTTGTTGCCACGGACATATCTGAGGCTGAGAACTAGACCCCGCAGTACGGTTGAAGAAGCAAACTCTTAGATAAAGACATGAGCAGGAAGGGAGTTCTGTGGAACAGGGGGCGCCAATGTCTTCATCAAGCTGTGGAGCGTTGCAAGGACATCTTTGGGAGATTGGACAAGATCCAGGAGATCGTTGGCGCAACGGAAGAATAGATGTTGACATAGGTCTGAACATATCGGGACTTCAGGTCCCCAAATGCGGTCCTCGGTACCGACGAAGGTCGAGGAAAAAGAAAGGCCAGGGTAGCCGAGATAAAAGATAAGAGGCGCTGGCTACTTCATCACAGTACACAACACAGTCTGTAAGACCGACCGAGCGCAAGTAGCGCAAGCAATGCTGGCAAACATGTGTGATGCACATAATGATGAGGACAGATGATTTATCCATGGCTATTGCGTGATAGTTACACAGACGAAAGATCCCATTTCTCTCTCTGCCATTGTGTATTGCTTCCTCGGTATTGTAGCAACAGCCAAAGAGCAGTCGAAATATCGTTTTGGTTGTGTGTGTGTGGGGGGGGGGGGGGGGGGGGGGGGAAAGGCTATAAGAGGATACACAATCGGCCTCGAACCGGAGTGCGCATTTGTTTTTTTTTTTGCCACGTCCTCATTAGAGTCCCTCCGATTCATGGGAGAGTGGGATCGTGGTTGAGCGCACCAGGCTGTCGGTGACAGGGAAAAGTGTCCCGGTTGGTCGAAGCCCTTGAAGCTCAAAGAAGCGCACTTCCCACTTCGCCTTGGTTAACCTCGCCTTGATTCACTTCGCCCTGATTCATTTCGCCCGGTGTCAGAGTCGGATTTTTTACTTCCTGTCATTATTTCATGTTCTGTCTTTCACCCTCCTGTTCTCATGGCCTGAACCTGCGCTCTTTTCCACATCCAACCCGGGTTTGCATGGCTTTGAGAAAAAAGGGTACGCGGTGGTGCCCAATCAACTGTGCCCAGGACAGGAAGACGTGCGGGCATGGCCTTGTCGCGCAAATTAATATGCGCCAGCTCTGATTACAGCAGACCCTTTTGCTACATCAGTCGAAAACTACAGTAGACAATGGGTGAACTCTATACACAAATAAGGTTCTTGGAACGTTTGGAAGGGCAATCGGTCCCAGGGGAGCGAAGGAGAGGAAGAGCATTCCGCTAAACGCAACTGGTATGGTGTAGCTCTAGTTAGACCGCATCGCTTCTTGCCTCATTCCTTTCTTCATTCCCTCATTCCTTTCCTCATTCTTTTTCATACCCTCGTACGGTTTATTGCACTTCTCGTGTTCCGTACACTTCATATCTACTCTTCTATCTATCGAACAATTGCCCTAATCTATCCTAATCTATTCATAATCAGATAATTACCATGGGTTGCAAAAGTTCCAAACATCTCGACAACGGGTCATCAGTCCAACACAGCGCGCAGGCCCACCACCAGCAACAGCAACCTGCTTACGGCCTTCCACAGCAGATGTTGCCACCCTCAACCTTGCCTCAAGGATGGTATGTCAAGGCAGCAACTGGACTAATAGATTAATTGTCTGCACCGTGCACCCTTGTGAGAAGTAAAAGGGCCTTTTGCACAGCTCAACAGGAATTCTTCGCACTCATCGTTTCCTTCAACGACTTTACCTTTAGGGTCTCGCAATTCGACGCCAACAAACAACGCCTGTACTATGTGTACCCGCAGACGGGACTTGTCACCTGGACTCACCCATTGGGAGCACAGGCAGATGCCCAAGAGATGGCACGGTTCAATCAGATTCGTCAGTTGCAGCAGCAACAGTATGGAAGTGTAAACCAGAGCTCCTTTGCGGATTCTTATAACCGCCAGGGAGGCATGGGAGCAGGCGCAGGGCTGGCTATGGGCATGATGGCCGGTACGTTGTCTTCTGTTAGCTTTGTTGGTTGTCAACCTGTTCTTTTTACTATCTTTTTTTACGAATATCTTTTAGAGCGCTCGATTTCATTTTGTATCGAGAGCAAACGAGAGATTCTAATTGTGTATCGTGTATTTACGCTCTATTGTCTAGGTGGTGCCATGGGTTTAATGGCAGGAAGTATGCTGACAGGCGGTATGCACGGGGGTTATTCGAACGATGTCATTCCTGCGAGCACAGACTACGGCGGTGGGGATTTTGGCGGTGGAGATTTTGGCGGCGGGGATTTTGGTGGAGGTGACTTTGGTTTCTAAGGACTCCTCGACAACCAGGAAGCGCACGAGATAGCCGGTACACGGAGACCTACTATGATTACGAATAATATAATGACGACTTTATACCTATATGAACGTTGGCTAATGATTGAAGCTGCATTCTTGTACCTTGCCTGCATCGTGGACACCGCTTGTCTTTTTTTATTGGCACCAAATCCCCCCAGACGACCCCTTGCCTCCGTCTGCGCGCAGACGTTCGAAAGCAAAGGCCCTACACGTGATTCCAAATATCTTGTTTACATTTGGCATTTTTTCGCGCTGGACCTGTGGGAGAGCACTGCCCTGCAAGAGGTCGCCTGGTCTGCAGCTACGCTTGTACCGTTCAACTGTCTAGTTCTATCTGTTTTTGCCTCCACAGCATCGTCAATCGTCCACTCGATCCCGGTTGCATCCTTTTCCCTCATCACCACTACACGCTGTTCCATCCTTAGACACACCAGCAACCTCGCTTCTCGTCCTGATTTTGTTTTTACTTTTGCTTTGCTTTCGCTTTTAAACATTGCCACCATGTCTGAATCTGATCTCAACCTCCCCACCATCGTCCCCCTGCTCCAGACCAAGGCCACTAACTCTACCAAACCCAACGCAGACTCGCGCCAGCAATCACCCTCCGTAGACCAGTCGGACTCTCCTATAATGCAACACCCTCACCTGGTTCCTTCGTCTCTCAAGGTCGAGACGGCCCTATTAACAAAAGAGCTGGCAAAGTTTCGGGCCTGTGACCAGAATACATGCTTCTACTGCCGTGAGTGGGCCCAATGGGTATTCAAAAAGACATTCGGCAAGGACAAGGATAAGGACAAGACCAGCCCGGCCGCCGATAAGAAAGGGGGACGTTCAGGTGGGTCAGTAGGACCAGGGTTCGGGAGTACAGGATCTGGGTTCGAGACCAAACAGAATCACAAAGAGTACGCCATGGTGGTTTGCGAGCGCTTTTACCAACGATCGACTGCGGACAGTGCGACGAATGGAGGTCAGGGACAGCCTGCAGGATCGACAGGCGCAGGATCAGTGGCTGCCGCAGCCATTGCAGCCAACAAAGCAGGAACAGGAACCTCTCCAGCACCCTCGTCCTCTGGATCAGGCCACGAAGGCTTTGTGTCAGAGATCGTCGACACTGTGCGCGAATGGATTCAACAACCCAGTGCTCTCTACACATCTCCAGAAGTCTTCTCTCTCGTCGATTTTGAGGCCCTGTACACCGCATATCCTCTCCAGAATCAGGAGCAGAATCAGCAGCAGGACGATGTCACTCCGATCCTTTCCACGATCACGATTGAGAAGGCGAACATGATTCTAGGGCACCATGGATATCCTTTACTTAAGAGGGTAACAAAGGCGCAGCTTCAGAACCAGATCATGAACCCCACATGTCAGCACACCAAGGGCCACTCTAAAACCCCTGCTGATCTGGAGCTGGACAAGGAACTCTTCAACGAAGAACTCAAGCGAATGAGAATGCGAGACCAGGAAGGATTGCGAAAGCAGATTGGACCTGTCTGGAGGCACGTCGAAGAGGCATTAGAGCGTATGGAAGGTGCTGAAAAAGTTCGATCCGGGATCTTGGGACCATCTCGCGCCAAAGAGTTTGCTCAGACCTACAAGGACCGTCTGGTGTCATTTCAAGAGGTAATCATGAATGCATTTCGTATCCCTCCGACGGGCGAGCAAATTGAAAGTCAACCGATCTTAACATTTACGGTCTTTGCCATCATAGATCTGGACAAACATCGAGACAACGGTCAGGAAACCAACTTCTAAAAAGCGAGGATCGACATCTGATAACAATACGATTGATCCTGTCGAGGAGGTCGATCAGGCATTCCAGCAGTTTATCGATAATCTCCAATACATTCATAGGCAATTGACAGCAGATGTTCTCGAGTCTTCAGAGAGATCTTTACGTGAGTTTATCAAGGAGTTGGCTGCGGCTCAAACAAAGATTCTCAAGCTGGCATTGACGCGCATACAGGAGGGCAAAGTAGGCGCGGCGAGGATCGACAAGATTTTGGAGGAAAGCCCCGAAAAGTGTCGCAATGCACTGAAGATGGTTGAGCAACTAATTCCCATTTTCGACACCAAGATGGGGCAGTTCCGAGTCCTGGTCTTGAATAAGCTCAAGGAGGTTGACGAGGAGGTTGAGGCGGTTGCTGCAGCGTACTTTCAGGACTCACAAAGGACCGTCCAAGGAAGGCTTGAGAAGGCCGCGAACAAGGAGTTTCGTAGGAGAATTAAGAAACTGGAATTTCTCTCGATCGAGACACGCAAATGGTTCTTCCAGTCTCGGCTTACGTTGTTCTCCAGTCTCGATTTCGCTACGGTCTGCTTGAATACCCTTGGAATCTTGATGGAGGAGGCCGAAGTCTTGGAGGCCGTCCAGCTTGGCTTACACGATGATCATTTCCGTTCACGAGTGCTGAAATCGCAGGAGGGAAGGATGAAGCTGTCCCAGCAATTTCGCGAAGGCGTCAAGACCGGTCGACGTGTTCTAGCTGTGATGATCTCGCGTCTGATGATGCGGGAGGGGGCGCGCGCTATGGGCGAAATGGCTGCCATCCAGAAAGAGAAGAAATTCCTCAAATCGATAGGTCAGGATGTGAGCGGCAGCAAGTTCAGCACCAAGGGATATCTCGTTCCAAGTCGCGACGTTACACCGACTGCCAGCGCTCATGTTTCAGATGACGACGATATTGACGGGCAGACTGGTACTGCGACTGTGAGCAAGAACAAGAAGAAGAAGGACAAGAAAAAGAAGAAAGCTGCCGCAGTTGTTGCTGCTGCTCCCGAGCCCGAGACTGAGGAGACAATCGAGGAGGTAGTTGCCGTGTCTCCCCACCCATCGTTACACAATGTCCGAGGACTTCTACCAAACCGTCCAGGGGAACCATTGACAGCTATATCCTCTAAAGAGGCAAGGGAGCTGAAGAAGCAGGCCAAGAGAGATGCGAAGCGTCAAGCTAAAGAGGCTGCTGAGGCTGAGGAGACCACGGCTGCTCAGGCGGCAGCCAAGAAAGCGGAAGAGGCTCGAATCGCTAGGGAATTGAGAGAGGCGCAAGCAGCGATTGAAAGACAGGAGGCTAAGGAGTTGAAGGATAAGAAGGAAGCAGAGCTGGCTCGACAAAGGAAAGCTGCTGAAGACGCTCTTGAGGCCGAGGCAGCTAGGACGAAGGCGGCCGCATTGGAAGCCGAGGCTCGACGAAAGGCACAGGAGGCAGAGGAAGTCAAGGAAGCTCAGGAGCGGGAGAGAGCTCGAGGACTCAAGGAGAAACAGCAGGCGAAGGACGTTACTGTCCCAGTCGCAAAAGAGTCGACCGTAACAGCCCCATCTACAGTGCCAAGTAGCACCAGCTCGACGACATCTGATACTACAGCGGCCGCTGCGCCACCTGCTTCGACCGTGACCGCTACCGAGACCAAGGTTCCGACATGGGGACCGTCGGCTGCTACTCTCGCCAACCGTGCAGCACAGTCAGCCAGAGAGGCGGATCGTACTCAACTTCCATCCAAGAAGCGACACTCCGAGGAACGAGGCCTGAAGTTCACGGGAACGTTCGATGCAGGGGATACGAAGACTCGTCATGCCAATGGAGCCACATCCCAGAAGAAGCGAAACGATGCGGACCAAATTAATCAGAAGGATCCTGTATCGGACGTTGCTCAAAATTTTGGCTGGATTGCCAGCAATGAAGGCGATCCTGAGGACAGTGGAACTGATAGCCTGGAGGATCTCGCTAGACTCCCTACTCAGACGTTGGTTTCGTTGGTGCATACTCTGCAGATTGAGAACAAGTCGCTGTTGACAACATTAGTGTCGATGCAGCAGCAGGTCTCGTCGCTGACGGAGCGATATTCGACGTTGGCATCGTTGGCCCGCGAGCACGAGCAGCAGGCGATTCAGGCGATGGAAAACCAAAAGCAGCGCGAGATGGAAGAGGTTCAGCGATATGTGTGGAAGGTTGAAGAGAGATGTCGCCAGCTGGAAAAGCATGTCCTGGCAACACATCAGCACCGTATACAGATGCAACAGATGCAGCATCAACAACATCAACTCCAGCATCAGCAGCAACAGCAACAGTCTCTTACCTCAGGGCCTCCAGGACTGGGATCGATGAGCAATATTTCGATGCCGCCACCTGGATTCAGCAACCTGCTTGGGATTGGTCGTCAGCCGTCTGCACCGTCGTCTCCTTCGCTGGCGCATCGCAGCTTGAATGGGATGGACTCTCCTTCGTCGTCCTCCATTTCTACAACAGCAAGTTCATCTTCGATGGCGTATCCGAGCATGATGTCGTCTGCGAACGGATCGATGGAATCACTCATGTCACCACAAGCAGGGCCCATGAATGTGTCGTTGTTATCGTCTGTGCCATCGTCGGTTGGTTCGGTGCCTCCAGGTTACGAGTCTGGGCCTAAGAAGACGCATTGGCGCCAACGAGGCGAGGTTCGGTGCGGCAACTGTGCTCAATTGGGACATGCAAGCGCTGAGTGCCAGGCTGGATGTCGGTACTGCGACCAGCCCGGACATTTGAGCCAGGACTGCCCGGCAATGGCTAACTCTCATGTTTAAGTTGTATTGTAGTTATATCACACATACGATCAATGTATAGTACGTTCCCTACAGAATAAAGACACCAGCATAATGCATTAACTGATGCCCACGGTATGTTGAATTTTTTCGCACGATGCGCGTAAAGGTAAATGCGGTTGGGTGGTTGGGTGTGGAGTTCATTTTTGGCGGCGTTCCTGTCCCTGCAGTAGAGAAGATCCTCGCGGGAGTTGACTCAGCAATCTTTTTACCCGAATTCCCAAAACTTCATTGACTCTGGTTCCTTACGCTAGCTACTGAGATGGATTTCGCACTTTGTCGCTTTGTGATTTTTTTTTAATAAGACCTCTACATAGGAAAGAATACATGCTTTCTAACGAAAGTTGATAATCTTGTTGCATCTTCGTTGGTCATGGCGGACGGGGACTGAAGAGCCAATTTTGAGGGGTGGAGCGGAGGTGGCTGCCCAGACTGAATCTGTGCGCATACAAACAGTGTCAATGAACGGTATACCGCCGATGGTAATGAAAAGGGGGGACACAGCGATGTATATCCTCTCAGTCGTAAACAACGGTGGGAAAATATACACACATGTATGTTAGTGTGATCTGTTTGGAAGGGCGCAAAGTGGCAATAAGATTCATCTGTCTTTTCTTTTTGTTGAGTCAGGTTTTGTAGGCGATTGTGTGGTGAGCCAACGAGACGCGTTGGTTTCCATGAGTGGTTTATGAAATGCGTATCCCGCCAACTGCAGGTGCTGTACACAAAAGCTCACACGCTCTCAAAAGCGCATGGTATGGCAGGCAGGCAACACGGCAGAAGGATTCCTGGGGAAAGCGTGCGAGCTTCACAGGTACAGTGGATGTGGATGCATTTGTATACAATTGGGGAGTTAGTCATAGTGTCTCCTGCAATACAAGAACGACAAAAGATGGTCAACAACAACCCCATGTCCGCAGTCATTATTGACAAGGTACAAGGAAGGTACCCTGGCAACCATGCTCGAGGTTCTGTAGTCTATGCGGGCGGGCGAAATTGTCCGGCTGTACTCTGATAGTTAAGGTTATTTTATGGCTGAATGCCGAAAGTTTCCCATGTGTTCAGTTCTGATCGGTCCATAGCATACACCTAAACAGTTCAGCTTTCGCTGCCCTGAAGGTTCGAACCATAACCCTGGCGAGGAAGGAAGCAAGGCGGCAATAAGGCCTTTTTGTCCCTGCACCAGTCATTTGTCAGCCTCGAGAGTATAAAAAATGAACGAGTCGAGCTCACTCCTCTTCTTCCTTTTTTCTTATCTCTGTCGCCTTTGCTTCTTTCTTCTGCCTCCGTTTCCCTCTACCCATAGACGAGTCTGCTTGCTTGCTATTCATTCTACCTAAATATCTTTCTCACTTCCCATCAAATGTCGTCGAATACCAAATCCTCTGAGCAGCCAATGGCCAAGGACTTTTCGTCCTTCCTCTCACTTGAGGGCGCCTCGCGCAAGAAGAGTCCTCTCAAGAGCTTGCTCCGCTTCATGGGAGGAGACATGATCTCTCTTGGTGGTGGTAAGTCGTTCATCTCTTTGCTTCTCGTATCACATACATACATATGGGCAATTGCATCCATTAGCGCGGTTCATTCTTCAACGAATACCATGCATCACGCACTGTAGTACCACGCTGCTACATTCTCGACATCCTTTGTCCAATTGATAAATAGACTATGTATTAATGCCAAACCTCTAATTAACTGTGTGCCCTCATCCAATGCTCAACTCTAGGTCTCCCTCACCCATCGACCTTCCCCTTCTATTCCCTGTCCGCCGAGGTTAAGAGCATGGACCCCACTCTCAATGCAGAATCTGCTACTAACAACACAAAGGCAGCCTCAGCATTGGGCGATCTCGTCACTGTCCCTCACGGTCCTCAACCTGGCAAGATCGAGAACTTGAGCGCATCTCTGCAGGTACTTAACCGCTGCATTTAGGATGATCTGCGTACCTTGATTTCTTTCATTTCGGTGGTGGATGTCGTGTTTTGTACTAATTTTTTTATTGAATATTTTATACTCCCACAGTATGGTATCGGTACGGGCATCAAGTCCCTGCGTGAATTCTGCAAGGAGCACGTCAATCAGATGCACCGTCCTCAATACCAAGATTGGGATGTCATCCTCTCTGCCGGTAATACGGATGCGTTCGCAAAGACCATTGCCATGCTCTGCAGCCGCGGCGACAAGATCCTGGTCGAGGAATGGACATACCCTGCAGCGCTAGAGATGATCGACCCCTTGGGTGTCGGTCATGTCCCCGTGAAGATGGATGGGGAGGGAATGTCTGCAGTTGCACTGAAGGACCTTTTGGACAATTGGGGATCGACGCCCGAGCAGGCAAACGACACCAAACCTTGTGTGGTGTACCTGATCCCAACCGGACAGAACCCTACAGGCGCGACCATGTCTATCCAGAGACGGAGAGATATCATGCAGGTAGCACAGGAGCACAACTTGATTTTGATCGAGGACGACCCATATTACTATCTTCAGTTCTTTGCTGGAGAGGATGAGCAGAAGGATGGCCAGACGAACGGGACAAGTGAGAACAGCCAATCTGGATGGGTTCCCTCGTTGCTCTCGATGGACACGGACGGCCGTGTGATCCGACTGGATACGTTCTCAAAGACGTTGGCGCCCGGATGTCGCGTGGGATACATGTCGATGAACGCACATTTCTGCACAATTGCTCAGTACCACAACGAGGTGACAATACAGCAGCCCAGTGGATTCTCACAGGCGCTTTTGGCGGAGATGCTGATCTCACACTGGGGACAGGAGGGCTATACCCGTTACTTGTTCGAGAACGTTCGCACAGAGTACCTGAAGAGATCACAGCATTTGCAGATGTGCTACAACAAGTATGTGGTCCCTCAATTTGCGAGCTTTATCAAGCCATCGGCAGGCATGTTTATCTGGATCAAGGTGCATGTAGACCAGCACCCTCGGTACGGAACGGTATCGGATTCGGCCTTGATGCTCGAGGTGTTCAGGAGCTGTGTGGAGAACAATGTGTTGATGGTGCCTGGTTGGCAGTTCAGCTGCAAGCCCAAGCCTGCGGATATTGACCCCTCGGACGTGTTGAACGTGTGGTTTGATGACCAGGCCACATACTTGCGTGCGACGTTTGCGTACGCGAGCTTTGAGCAGATGGAGCAGGCGATGGCTCGATTCGGCCAGTCACTGAGCAAGACTTTCGCGGCGTAGCTCTATAATAAGGGTCGCCTCTATAGATAATAAATTACATATCGAAACTCGAATACGTATTTTTATCGCTGGTGAAGGAGCGATGTGTGTGTGAGGGGTTTCAAGGCTCGAGTTTTAAGTTTGCTTGTTCTTTTAGCTTTCTGTTAGGGTTTGTAATCAGGCTCAACTTCAAATGATCCGGACGTCTCTGATCTCAAGGCTGGGAGACAGCTACCTTTGTCACAGCTGGCGTAATAGAGCCGGCGCCATATTAACTTGCTTGACAAGACTATGGCCGCACGTCTGTCTCATCTGGGGCCAGTTGACTGGGCACTTCTTTGGCGTGCAATACCTATTTATGTCCACCACCGCGTATCCTTTTTTCTCAAAGCTATGCAAACCCGGGCTGGATGCGAAAAAGAACGCAGGCTCAGGCCATAAGAACAGGAGGGTAAAAGACAGAACATGAAATAATGACAGGAAGAAAAACCCCGACTCTGACACCGGGCGAAATGAATCAGGGCGAAGTGAATCAAGGCGAGGTTAACCAAGGCGAAGTGGGAAGTGCGCTTCTTTGAGCTTCAAGGGCTTCGACCAACTGGGACACTTTTCCCTGTCACCGACAGCCTGGTGCGCTCAACCACGATCCCACTCTCCCATGAATCGGAGGGACTCTATTGAGGACATGGCCAAGGAACAAATGCGCACTCGGGTTCAAGGCCGATTGCATATCCTCTTACAGCCTTCCCCATCAACCAACCAACCAATAAACCAACCAACCAACCAACCAACCAACCAACCAACCAACCAACCAACCAACCAACCAAAACGACATTCCGACTCTCCAATAACCGGGAAAGGCTCCTATAGCTGTTGCATGGGTGCAGCTACAATACCAATAGAGTAATGACAAAATGAGAGAAAGGGAGAAATGGGGTTTTGCACCTGTGTAACTAGATACAGTGTGCGACATCGTCCAACAATGGAACTTATACTCCCTTCTTTCTTGGTGCATTATGCCTGTGGCTTGATTCCTTTCCTCCCCTGTTCAACATTTGGCAAAAAGAAATATACAGCTCCCTTTTGTCACTCTTATTGACCTCGCTCTCATACTCATCCTTAGTTCTGTGGAGGTATACTTTGGTAACGCTTTATTCTTTGCAATAAGCAGCTCCAAGCGACTAGAGTAATTAGGGTAAATGACAAAAACATATTGGTATAAAAAATAGAAAAACTTTTTATCCCTTGACCTCCTCGAAGGTGGCTTCATGCTTCTCATCAGCGGCCTCATCATCATCCTCAATGGTGTGCTCCTGGACGGCCTTGAAGGCGACGGGGAAGGCACCGAGGACACCGACAAAGACGAGGACAACGCAGATGATGAGCTCGCCCATACCAGCGGTCTTGGGGTGCTCAGCATTGTAGCCCTTCGAGGGGGCGTTACCGATGACCGAGGTCTGGACAACGGGAGCCAAGACACCTCCCAAGTTCTGGATGAACTTGTAGAAACCGGCGAAGCGAGCAGCCTGGTTGGTGTCGTTGGTGAGGGCACCCATCAACCAGTAAGAGTAACCCTGGTACATGGCATCAGTAACACCATAGAAGAAGTACAAGAAGTATGGTCCAATGTACTCGCCAGTGTTGTGAACAAGATCAATCATGTGGAAGTCAGCGGGGTTCTTGACCCACACGCCATCCTCCTGGATGGGATTGCGGGGTCCGAAGGTGGTCTGGAAGATGATGCCTCCGATCCAGGTGGCGAGCAACACAATGGTCAAGAGAATGAGACCATAGCGAGCACGGGTGGGACGGGTCCACTGAGCGCGATCCAAGAACTTTCCGTAGAGGATCGAGGCGATAATCTGGGCGGCCCAGTACGACATCGAGTTCATGTTACGGGAGCGGGTCGTGAAGTTAGAGCCGTTAACAGCGGTGAATTGGTAGGTGTAGAACCAGTTGGAGGTGAAGAACATGGGGATGAGAGCCAACATGCGCCAGTCCTTGAAAAGGGCAAAGACAGACTTGAGCTCGGAGATGGGGCTCGAGTACTTGATCTTGACGACGTGGGAACCATCCCTGCGGATGACCTTGGAGGTGGGCAGCAAGAAGACAGAGATGAGAGCACCGATGGTCATGACGATCATGTAGCCAGCGTACGAGGCAGTGTTGGCACCGCCGGCTGTTTCGTCGTTCCACTGAATACCGAGGGGGATAACGTTACCGATGACGGCACCAGTGTTGAAGATACCCCAGAAGATGGAGAAGTACTTGCCCTTCTCGTTCTCTGGTGGGTAACCCATCATGACGGCACCCTGGGCAGTCCACAACCAACCAGCACCAATACCAAGCAAGCAGGAGGCAATGACGACAAAGACGATGGATTGGATGTAGAAGTAGGCAAGGTATGATCCAACATAGAGGACATAAGTCAAGCCTCCGAGAATGAGAAGAACACGGTGACCGAGAATGTTGAAGAGAGCGCCAGCGAAGAGGGAGGAGAAAGCGAACACGAGGGAAAGAGCGGTACCGGCGCGGTTACCGACATCAGAGTCCTTGGAGGAAAGGCCGTACTGACCGGTACCCTGGAGGGAGTTGAACATTCCAGGGCAGCAGAAACAGATGAAACCCTAGAAAATATATGCATGCAGTCCAAATATCGGTCAGCGTGCTGTTCCTGAGGGTACGTGTTGTGTAGCTGGACAGCAGGAGACGAAGAGCGACTCTTGGCTTCCAACGCTGCTTGGCAGGTGAAGCGGATCGATACTCACCAGGATGATGACCTGGGTCATGGGATCGTTGAGCCTGACCATGGCGACTGCTGGAAAGAAGGAGAAACAGGGAAAGCGGGAAAGGAGAGGGAGAGGGAGGATGAATGAGAGACCTATGGGTGAAGAAGAAAAAAAAAAGAGGGCAAGGCGAGGTGCGATGATGAGGAGTTTTATAGTCTTGGCCCTCAACTAGTGTGGTGTACGTTAATACATTGGAGGGTGAATGTGCCTGCTTGCTCATTGAATGAATAAATGGAGCAGAATGAGAGCAGAAGTTTATTTCGCTAACACGGACAAGCTATTTCCCATTTCAATCCCAATTCATCTTGGCTCACTTTTCTTTGACTCCAAAGGACTGTAAACAACTCTAGTCTAAACAAGGTTGCCAGACTGCAGTTTGTTGTCAACTTGACACACAAACACACCCTAGAGTTAGGTCCACCGTACACAAGCTGCAGCCTGCAACCTGCGGCTACGGACGCTACCGAAACTGCAACATGCCAGTTACGGTACAGGACACACGCAGAAAAACATATCAATAGTTCACCGTGGATTTGGTAGGCGAAAGGACATCGATATTGATAGAAATGAAATAGAGTGAAAACGGAGTTTGATTTCTGGGTAACCGGGCGAGTTGCCAAAAGTAATCTGAGGATGCTATTCGTTTTAGACCTTTGGAATTCAAACATGCTTCATAAATACGCCTCAACCCTCGTTTTTGCACTCCACTCGGGCGCTGATACTCCTATATGAGAGCAAACTGCGACGGTCAATGATGAATACTCCGCATTGTGCTCGAACCCCGTTGAAATGTACAAAAAACGCACAATCCCTCCCGCCCTGAGCACAACGAACACAAACTTGATTATCAACAGGCATTGAGCGGATTACAAAGGCGCACAAGACTCCCTAGACAACGCTTAGTTTGTCTGGAAACGGACGAACACCAGTAGACTCGATCACCATAGAGATAAAGAATATCAGGATGGTCAATGTTCTTCGATTTCTTTTTGGAAGAAAAGTGGAGCCCTAGGCTGCGGCTGGTACAGTGAATGTGCGGAACAAATTGAAGAATCGTTCCTCCGTTGTACGACGTTCTCGTTGGACGATAGCATATCAGTGCCATCAAATAGGGGCTGTTTGTTCTTTATCGACCCACCGTTTTGCATGAACTTTGTGTGCACGCATGTCTCACTCGCTCGGCGCCTAATCGTGTCCTACATGTAGGCAAACAGCTTTTCATGGTTTTATTTTGACCGATAATTGTGCAGCAGTGTTGACAGTCAGCAGATAAAAAATCTATTTTTTTTATTTTTTATTTTGCTGCTGCTGTTGATGTTGATGTCGATGGTTACGGCAGGGCTCGATATCGCTCAAGTCAGGTGTACCCATGCTAATTGTTTGCTGCGCCTTTGACCAGTTGAGCGAACGCAGCGGAAAACAACGCCTAAAGATGGAGTCCGTTCCAGCCTCCTGAAAGGTTGCCGAGGCGCCTCCAGCGCACAACAAAAGGTTGCCCAAGGTTAGAGTTTGGGAGTACAATCAAGGAATCAAGGTTTGTGCCATATGTTGTCAACACCAGAGTCTACTGTCAACAAACAAACAGAAATAACAGGGTTTGTGTAGAATTACAGATAGATGTGCCGGACTAAAGAACCAGATCATCACTTCGCCAAAGCGTGAAGCGTGAGTTTCATTTCAGAGCCACTCTTATTTCCTTGTTCTCGGTATCTACTGGTGGTCGCTTGTGGTTGTTGCCACATATAGCCACGCATTGCTTGTTTGTGCTCTTGCAATGTTTATCTAGTCTCCAAGGCCTCTAGACCTCACTTCCTCCCCGTGAACTGAAGTTCAGATGGTACGACCTAGCCTTCATGGAACATTGCTGATTGTACCATGTTTGCAATGCAAGGGAGCGCCCTGGAAAGAATCACTCGTCTTGTAAAGAGTTATCAGTCTTCATCTTCACCACAGAACAGAAGAAACTACAACCGGAGTTTGTGGAGAAAGAAGAATAGCAATAGCGCGATTTTTTTTTTTTTTTTTTTAGCGCTCTCGTTATTGTCGACATAAAACCATAGCCATGAAATTACCTTCACTTTGTGTCCCCACTCCGTGCTCTGGCACTTTAACAAGACCAATGTTATCAAGTTTACAGATGGTATCGCTCTCTCATACTGATTCTAGGGCGCCACTTCGAGCACAGTCTAACCAGAAACCCGAGGATGTCGCTATGCTTGACCACAACGGATGAGAGCGATAGGCGATCGTTGGGTCATACATATTCCATGCTTCCAATCCGACGAATGCGATGAGCATGATTTGGCCCCATTGCTGTGCTGGTTCTTAATGTTTCTAGATATCAGGAAAGAAAGACTATCATCCGAGGATAGCACATCGCTCGCTTAACCACCTACTTGGCAAATCCTGTGTGGACTTACGCGGAGCCTTCAGTTTGACGAGAAAAAAATTATCCGCCATAGTACTTTGTAGTATTGGTTCGATAGTCCTACTGCTATTTGAATTCACCTCTTGACATACTAGACCATACCTCTCACAAGCGGCACAGGGAAGCTCGTCTCTTCAACCTCCTTTAGTACAATGTGTAGAGTGTATGCTACTTAATTACTTTTTTCTTCCTCAAAAAGCATTTTGCCCTTGTACGGCAATGCTGATTGACCAGAAAAACAACACAATACAGCTAACGCGTCTGAATCACGATGGGTTTCCACGCCAACATCGGCGAATATCCTGCTAGGGCTGCTTTGAGCTATCGCTGCCTTTCGCAGCTTGGACTGTGTTGTTTGTTTGATGCAATGGGATATGCTTCCTGCCTTATACAAATATTATCCGTAGTGCGCGTTTGTTGTTATTAGGCCTACAATGCGGGATGGACAGCCCAATGGTCCCTCCACTCCACTGCTGCTCTTTATTTGTGTACTGATGCCTGATTACAGCCTTGTCAAGTGTTTGACCCTTGTCCTGAGAGAACAAACAAATGTACGAACGCCCACGCGATGGACAACAGATAAATCCGATCAAATTGTATGGGTGGGCTCTGTGAACTCTTTTTTCTTTTTCGTCTCTAATAGAGATACAAAATGGGTTTGCGTGAGCGGAGATGAAGAGCAGCGTGTCCGTTCAATATTCTCTTCCACGGATACATCCAGAGTGGAGGGTAGGAGTTGCAAACCTTAGCGTGCCTAGCCCTCGGATAAAAGAAAAACGAGCTGCTCAGGTACTGCTTTCTATAAGAAGCCACCTCGTTTCCCGTTTACAATTGTAATATCGAGCAGTGGGCGCTGCCTCTAAGCCCTCTAAGCAGCGCAGGCGCACTCTTTACACACACTGTAAATCATGCCGTAGGTAGAAAATCATTCCATCCCGATCATAATCGCTCATACAAAAAGAACCGTATGAAGGGCTATGAAAAAGAGATATCCAAGGGTGGAAGTCTCGGTGATCCATCGTTCTGCTAGAATGGCGTTAGACACTAGCTGAGGTCGCTTTTTTTTTTTGTCCCCAGAGAATCACCTCTGTGTGAATGCGCCATACCTTAGATAGCACTCCGCAACAACAGAGTTTTGCCCATCCTCTCCAGTTGAGACAACAAAGCGATGATTGTACACCCATATGGACCGGATAACGAAGCAAGATACACTATCAAGTTTGAGAGCCCTTGCCAGTGGGGCGGATAAGTGGATAGGTGGGAATAATCATGGCGTTCCGAAGACGATCATGCATTCGAAAGGGCGACCCGGGCATATATTCCTCAGACAACCCACCCACGAGCGTGCCTGCCCTTGACTTCAGCCTTTCTTACTGTAAAAATAGACCGAAAGGGCCATCAACTGACCCTCCACGGTGCTGCTCCCCTTTTTGCGATCCTTTTTATCTCGGTCATCTCCAGCCAAACAAAAGTCGCTTCGTATCTCGCGAGAACATCTTGGTGTGCGATAATAGGCCCGATCTCGAGAGAGAAAGTCGATTAACCCGCTCTCCGTAACCTTCTCACTCTCTCGCTCCCATCGATCCTTTACTTGCACTTGCTCCCATTGGAACCTCCCCCACCAGTTTTCCCTGTGGTAACATATATAGCAACCACTACCATCTGGCTCGCCCTCGCTTCGCTCTTTCGAACCTACCCCACATCCATTCCAATACCCATTTTTGCTTCCATCTTCACAACCTCTCCTCTGAGGTCGATCTCCACGTCTCGCTATTGCACACTTCTTCTCAATATATTACACAGTATTTCCACAACTGCCTCCATGACCGCCACAAAGTCCCCTTCAACATCTCACACCAAGAACGTGTTTCGACTCCATGGCGTCAACGTCCTCAACAGAAAGAACGTCGACTCTATAGCACGACTCACTGCTCTTGAAAGACGTCGCGCGACACATATCCTGGACGAGCGGCAGCGACGTGATACTATGAACCAGCTCTTGACAGAACTTGCCAGCCTCGTTCGCGAATCCACTTCAGAAATCGATTTGACACAGCAACAATCATGTCTGCAATCACAGCCTCCACAATCCATACTCAATTCAGACGGCACAGAGAAACGGCCGCCCGTAAAATCCAACTCCATCACCACTCTCCGCAACGCCATCGCTGAAATCCGGCGGCTGCGTGCCTGCGCAGGTCTCCAGGCTATCGGCCGATCAAACCACACCTCCCCTACTCCCACACCCTCTCGCCGGTCCTCATCGCGCTCGACCTCGCCCTCCCTGTGCGATCTCGCATCCCTATCGGCCCTCGCAGAGCTGGCATCCCAGTATGGCCAAGAATTTGATAGCAACGAAAACTCCTGCGACTCCTCTCCCGCGTCCTCACCCAATTTGACTACTCTCCGCGCGTTGTCCCCGACATCGACATCTGACGCACCGGCTATCTTCTCTGACATCTCCTTCGGCCAACTTTACTCCCCACCACTCTCACCATCCAGTCCTTCGTCCCAGACAAACTTTTCGATCGCATTACCGGTCATGAACGCAACCTACACCAATACCGGTCAGACACAGATTCTGCCGCCATTGTCATCCATTGTTCAGTCGGCCTGTATTACGCCATATAACTATCAGCACCAGCAAGCGCATCCTGCACAACCAATCTTTTGCACGACGCAGTACGAGCCCACATCGTCGTCATCGTCAACGTCCCCCGGGAATTCCGAGTCATTGTCTTCTACGGTCTGCTTTCCAGAGCCATCCATCGCGCACTCGTCGCACTTTTCATCGACCTACCAGTCGTCATCGTCCTTTCCACCACTGTAAATCCTCGCTGGGATCTATCCCATTGGGAGATCCTTCCATGCTTGCTTTGATAGCACATTATTGGCCCGACTCAATTTAAGAGAGATTAAAATTTCCTCTATGCTTTTTGTGTTTGCATTTGTGGAGGTTGGCACAAAATCCATGCAATATAAATTGTAAATTTTTATCTCCCTTGAATTGAGTCGGGCCATTATTTATTATGGGTGGATATCGCTATCAGCGTTGAAAATAAATAAAAAAATAAAAACATAAAAAGAATCTCTGCCGACCACTATGCAGCATAGCCATCACCGTTGGACGGAGCAATATACTGAGGATTGGCTGGGGTATAGCTAGAGTGCGTCGGGGTATAGGCTTGACTAACAGGGGTCTGGGGAGTGGAGGCGCTCGTCGGAGGAGCATAGATCGCTTGGCTATAGCTGTGGTGAGGGCTGATTTCTGAGGTATGGGGCTGGAAAATGGTTGGCTGCTGGGCCTGGGATGTGGGCACAAATGTTGGTGGCACGTAGTTGTATGGCTCCTGAGCCTGGGGTTGAGCCTGGGGTTGGAAGATTACTGGAGGCGTCTGTTGGTGTGAGACCGTAATAGGCTGCGCAGCGTAGATATCCTGCTGCTGGGGGACATACGCTTGGTGTGGGTTGTACTGCTGCTGCTGGTACTGCAATTGCTGATTCTGAGCCATGGCGTCCTGTTGCTGCTGAAGGACATAGTTCTGGTCCATCAAGGGCATCGCAACAGGATTGTGGGTCTTACAAGGGTCCTGGTACGCAGCATTGGGTACGGGCTTTGCAGACGATTTGCGGCGATGACGAATGAAAAGGAATGCGATCAGGGCAATTACAGCTAAACCCCCGACCACGCCGCCAATAATGGCTCCAATGGGGGCTTGGCTGGAACCACCAGGCGAAGTGTTAGAGGGCTGAGGATTAGTTGGTTTGACAAGACCTGGTCCGCTCCAGACTCCTGCCACGGTATCGAAGCTATTGAAGACTACTGCGCCGTTAGCGGCGGAGCCGTAGGTTACAATCTGGCTGCCGACGGCTGTGGCCACCATGTTGGAGGCAAAGGGAGGAACATTGCCTGGAATCGACACGCGCTGCAATCTGGACTGGACAGGGTTGATAGAGTACAGCAGTGTAGAACCGTCAGAAGCCTTTCCATCGGAATGAAAGAGAAGGTTAGGTTAGTACATGGTGGTCAGGATCGTACCTGCTTACTCAACGAACGTGGATGTGCAGTGCCACAGCCATAAATACATTACCTTATCTAGGATATAGCCAACGCCTATCATCGTGAGGGAAAAGGCACTGTTTGTCAAAGTGATTCCGTCCATGTCCACGGTCTGGGGACTCGAAAGCGACAGGATGCGGTCCTGGTTTGAATTAATCGGCGATGCCGAGTCCAAGGTCGTGAAAATCCATCCGCTGCCGTTTTTGTCGAACACAACATGGAATCCTTGGGCGGGCGTATTAGTTGACGCAACATATGCGCCCACGCTCAACAAGGGGTTAGATGTTGGGTAGTTGGACAGGACAAAGCTGCGGACAAAAAAAACGTCGAAGATGAGTACAACACGGATAAACGTGAATCCAGTGACCAAAGAACAAACAACAATCAACATGCTCTTGAATAAAAGTAGTAAAAATGCGAGGTAAATACAAAAAACGCATCTGATAAAAAACACTTACTCTCGTGAGCTACTAACGATGGCCGTTGCATTGTATCGGAAGCCCGACCAAGCCGATTTGGTGTCAGGGTTGGTGGTATTTGTGACTCCTGTGATCCAATTCAGATTGCCAACTGCTCCCGAGAGCGAGAATAGTCTGTTGGAGACGAGTCCAATGGTAGGGAAGTTGGCGGGGATATCGATGGCACCATTCGAGTAAACGTTGGTAAAATAGGTCTTTGGCCCGAACTGCTGGATGAACATCGGACTACTGCTAGAGGCCATGTTTCCTTCATAGGAGAAACAAGTCTTTGGTGCAGAGCTGCTCCAGAACAACGAGCTGGTCTGGTTACCGACAAAGGTGGCAGCGGGCGAGGTAATGTTGGCAAGGTTAACGCTGTAAATCTCCAGACGGCCCTCGTTCGAGGCTGGGACTCCGGCAAGGTAAATGGAATTTTGTGAGGGAGCGGGTGCAATGCACGGGTAGGAGTATGTGGGGATAGCACTCATGATGTGCTTTGGCTCAGAATGGATGTTTGGTAAAGAGAAGCTGAAGCTGAGAAGAGGGTGCGAAGTGGCAAGGAAAGAGAGGCGAGAAAGGGGGCAAGGCAGGGGGCATACCCAAGACGCAGAAGTCTTCTTTTCGACCGAGTAAGACCAATTAGGTTTGTCACTAATCAGGCGTCCCTTTCAATCTTTTTTTGCAACGGCTGTGTCGAAGAGAGTCTACTGCGAAAAGGGAATGGCGGAAAATAACAAAGGCGAGGAGAGAGGAGTGGAAAAAAAAGAGATAAATGGCGGGACCCTTCGGAATTACAACTACAGTCTATTCCACAAACGAAACGACATCCCAGTCAGCATGAGCAGAGGGCCCTGTTTGTAATTTAAACGATTCATTGGTTGTGATATGAGCCCGCTTCTTCCTACTTCTGTCGGCTTAGAGGACGCTTTCCCGTTGTAGCTTGGCGGAAGAGCGTCAGCATAAATAGAACAAAGCAAGCAAAACAAGGCGGCAAGGCAAGGCAAGGCAAGGCAAGGCAAGGCTGAGCAGGGTAGGGCAAGGCACTGGTACGTGCAAAGAGGCAATTGTGTGATAAGCAACATCTAGACCTTTTGTCTTTCGTTGCTGCCTAGTGACTGTTGTATGCTGCAATGCATGGCATAGTCTGTAAACTCCTGCACTTGACCACATGAATGGACCACTTGGTGGCGTCCCCCTCCGCGGGTTTTATCATACCGCTGCAGCAGAACAGAGCATTGGACCCCCTTCAGGAATTTATTTTAGGGAGGTTCCCAGCTTTACATTTGCACATGCACTCGACCTTCTATCCCCCCTCCACCCTAACCCAAACCTGTTCATGCTGCCATCCTTCCCATTGCCCATCTTTTGCACCCCCTGTATTGTTCGACCGCAAGACTGACGACGAGACTGGATACCAACCACATTGCTCTGTAAACAATGGCCGATCTTAAGCGAGACTTTCTACAGGAGGACCAGGATGGGCACGACCCCGCGGGTGAATACGACGTACCCTCAAAGAAGCCACGGAAGGAAGGCCCCACTGATGACGAGACCACAGACGTTCGCAACGCCATGGCCCATGCTATAGGCCACGGCAATACCCCCGCCAACGGACTCAATGCGTCCATGAATTCCACTTCTTTTAGTCAGCACTCACCCTATCCCCAACAGCAGCCAATCTTACAGCATCAACAGCAACAGCACCATTTGCAACACCAGCACTTTCCACAGCAACTGCCCGTCTTTTCTCAACACCAATGTGGTCCTACCCCAGCATTGGCCAACACAGCCGCGGCGGCGTCGACCCAAAACCCCAATTATCAGCTTAAGTTCTCGCTCATGGGTCACCGAAAGGCAGTTTCCAGCGTCAAGTTTTCTCCAGACGGAAAATGGCTGGCCAGCTCATGTAAGTTGAGACGGAGAGCAAGAATAATCATTGCCATTGTTTTTGTGAGCCCTAGCTTCTGAAAGATGCCGCTTTTAACAACATATCCAACGTGTACATCGATAGCTTCGGACAAGACGATCAAAATCTGGAGTGTCTTTGATGGAAAGCACGAACGTACAATGGAGGGACACTCGCAGGGACTTTCAGATGTTGCTTGGGCTTCGGACTCGCTTTCGCTCTGCTCTGCATCCGACGATAGAACAGTTCGCATCTGGGACCTTGGAACAGTAAGATACAGCTTTTTAAAGAATATAAGCGCAGGATATCGTTGACAACAAAAAAGCAATGATTAACAACTACTCGCTTTCTCATGCTATTCCATCTACATTCCTAGGGCGAGACCACCAAGATCCTACGAGGACATACACACTATGTCTTCTGCGTCAATTATAGCCCGCAGTCGGATTTGATTGTGTCAGGATCGTTCGACGAGACCGTTAGGATCTGGGATGCCAGGAAAGGTATCCTGCATGCTTTCAACGCGAAAATGCACGGGATGCTATCATTTCTACCTCGATCGATGTTCACTTTCTTCCTGAACATTCGTAGGAAAATGCATCAGGACACTGCCCGCACATGCAGACCCTGTCAATGCGGTTCACTTCAACAGAGATGGCAGCACTATTGTTTCTGGCAGCCACGATGGTATTGTGTAAGTATAGGCATCTTTGCGATTCAGATATCAACGAATTTTGCTTTTGTATACCTGCTGACGCTTTTCTTTTTTTCTTTTTTTTCGTGCATGCGTTTATTGTTTTCCGTAGACGTATCTGGGATACAGCAACGGGACAATGCCTCAAGACATTGGTTGATGACAATAACCCACCGGTGTAAGTGTTTTGGATCAAGTTGCTTGCAATCTTACCAATGGGAAGCAAATCTAAAGCTGTTGACACGAATTGCTCCTTAAAAATATGACTCAGATCGTTTGTCAAGTTCTCGCCAAACGGCAAGTTCATCCTTGCCTCCACGCTGGATGGGACGATACGCCTCTGGAACTACCACACAGGAAAGTGTCTGAAAGCATACACGGGACATAAGAATGACTCTTACTGTGTCTTTAGCAGCTTCTCCGTGACGGGCGGCAAGTGGATTGTAAGCGGTAGCGAAGACAATTGTATATATATCTGGAATCTCCAAACCCGAGAAGTCGTTCAGAAACTGGAAGGGCATAGTGGTATGTTGTATCTGTTTTTTTTTGTTTGTGTCTGTTCATGTTTGCTTAAGACGTTGAGACTAATCATGTATCGTTTACGCATTTTTACAATTAGATGTCGTACTGTGTGTGGCCTGTCATCCCACGCAAAATATAATCGCCTCAGGGGCCATTGACAACGACAAGACGATCAAGATATGGGTGGACACTTCGAGTGTATGATTCCGGATAAGGCTCTAGCAATTAGGCATGGTGCTCCGTATAATAAAGAAAAAAAATTGAACAAATTCGTATTATATGTATTTACAGTTGAACATTACCGATATGGATGCCGATCATCATCAAAAAAAGAAGGGGTTGAAATGGATGCTCTACTGCCTTTATGCTCTCACTGCTTGCGCGTGCATCTTGGAGTCTGAGGTTTCCATAGGCGAAAGAATTTCTGCAGGCTTGGTCGATGTTACGGCTGTAGGTAACAATGGGTTTGAACTAAGGATCAACTGTGTTGCTTCAAGGACATCTCTTGCATCGTTCCAGTACATAACATGAGTCTTGACTAGCTGTGGATTCTCCTTGATCTCTTTCTCCAGCAAGAGGCCTCGACGGGCAAGTACAACGTCCTTACTCTGAAGACGCGTAGAGGGGCAAAAATCATTGGTCGAATCACCCATGTAGATCACTTGTTTCCAGGATTGGGCGTCGATCAGCTTTTGGATCTCGCGGCCCTTGCAGAGGTTGGGTTGGCAGGGCAAGGGGCAGTTGTGGGGCTCCTTATCCAGACCATGAAATCGGATGACATCCAGACGACCTCTTTCGTCAAAAGCTGCAGGGTTCGTAATGACCTTTGTAAACAGTTGATCAATATTATATGCCTAGAGGAGGGGGTTGAACAAGAATATCTCAAAATGAGCTTTACGTCTTGGTGCTAGGTAGCATTAGGATACGAACCACGTCAAACAAGGACTTGTACCTTAAGAACGGTCTCGATGTACACCGTATTGGCATCAGAGAGAATGTACAGCTCCGCACCCTGAGACTTCATCAGTCGCAGGGCCTCGATCATTTCAGGAGCCTATAGGGATAAGCAGGTGGATATTCAGAGACTGGAGTCGCTGGCAACGCGAGATGTGGGGTTGTAACTTCATTCAGGATATCCATCAGGTATTTACAAAAGGGATCTGGCTAAGAGTCCTCTCGATGTCTCCTCTAAACACACCGCGATCGAATAACTCTCCCAAAAGACGCTGTCTAAAGGATGGGCGAGGTCATAGGATCACCTCGTCAGCAAACCATTGAACGTCGTCTCCCACACGTTCACACATACGTTAGACAAGAAGCTTTGCATGTGAGGATAGGACAAGCTCTTACTGAAGATCGGTCCACTGGACCTTTCCGACGGCATCCAACTGTTGTTGGTAGAGCTCTTTGCTTAAATTCTCAAAGACCCAGTTGTCAGAGTCGGCATCGATCAAAGTCCTGATGTTTGAAAAGGTTATGAGTGATATATAATCATATCATTAGCAAAGTGTTAAGGAGATGTAGTAGGGGTGAGTTTATGGTCTTACCAGTCAAAGTCAAAGACAAAGAGGCGCTCAGCAAGTGGTGGTACAGCTGGGATGGAGGTGGAAAGCATGCTGTGGAATATGTAGTGTCGAATATCAGGGTTGAAAATGAAGGATTAGAAAAGTAAAATGGGTGGAAGGTGTCGTGAAGAATGGGACCCATTTCTACGGTTCTTTTTATACGTTTTGTGGATACCATGATATCCTTTTGTCCATGATATTTGAGTCTCGCCGGACATACAAGACTGACACGGAAATGAGTGCACTCATGGCATTCGTGTACTAAGTTACTGTTGTCATTCGTGATTACTCGTGTATGTGCCTGCCTCTCTTTCTCTCTCTTGGCCCAACAGTGGCACCAGAGACGACCGTGTGTTCGTATCCTTGCTGCCGATTCGAAGCCCATTCATTAAGAGGGTCAAATCAAGAACACAGATAGTGAAAGACAGAGCGACAGCGATTTCAACAATACGATGGTCATTTTCATTCTGTACTTGCCGCCAACATGATCATACAAGGCCCAACCATTGGTGGTTCTGCAAGACACTTTTTTCATTTCTTGTAATGAATAGGGGAACGCCTGAATCTGCTTAGACCCGTTACTTTTGTTTGAATTGCTCATTCTTTGGCTTCCTATCGAAAGGCGGACCTGTACACACGTGGAGAAGTCGGTGAATCCGAGGCGACTCGTACCATGCTGAACACCTCCCAATCTGAAGTCTTCGGCGAAGCACCTTTCGATGTCATCATACTCCTGCCAAAACAACAGGGGTGAACAAACAACATGCACTGCGATTTTTTTTATTTTTTATTTTTTATTTTTTTTGTCAACTTGTCTGGATGAGGAGAGATCAAAGGGAAAGAAAAAAAGAAGCAAGCATACGAAGAAAGAATTAAAACAAATGTGAAAAGCCGGTTCCAAAAAAAAAAGGAACAAAATTGTTGAGGCTGGAGCCGTTTTAAAGATCCACGCCAAGATCCATACCCAGAACAAGGTATTTGGGGTCCGCATGGGCAAGAGCACCCGGATGGACCATCTCGAAGCCAGCGTACATCAAAGTGCGCGCAAGTTTCGCTAGTAACCATTTGAAGACACAGGGCGGAACGATATTAGTAAGGATCATGGAGTCATTGCTTCTTCACGCCCAACATAAGATACAAACATACCGAGATTGGGATTGCTCTTTTCCAGACAGAGGTGGACTGACTGGCATCCGAGTTGCTCCTCCGCAAGGTCGAGGGCCGCAACAACGCTCTGCGATTAAGAAAGATAAGACAGCAGTTTAGTGATTTGGTGAATTGGCCGGTTTCAAAACACTCCCCAGGATGGATTAAAATCATTAAAGCAACCCCTCTTACCTCCCGAATGTCCATGTCGTCCCATCCGTCGCCCCGCAAGAACAAGGCGCCCTCTGAAACGAACCCGAACCAAGTGTTCATCTTTGCATCACTTGAAGTAATCGTCAGCTTTGCATCAATCTTCACATCCTTTAACTCTTCCTCTTCCTTCTCCAGACTATTGTGGACGGAGTGGACGGCGTCATCGTTGGCCGAGGGGTAAAACTGCTTCATTTCTCTCACAAACAAAGTCGTCTGCTCCTCCGAGACACCGGCCTGGCGACTCGGCTCACAAACCCTGCTGCCACTGAGGTCTGTGAGCTTTATCGCGCGATCATTAATAGGGATGTCAGGGCCGCCACTGGCCTCTGCCTTCCACTAGTGCCAATAAAAATAGTAAATGCGAACGACCGGTGAGTAAGCGTGGTGACATATCAGACAAATACAACAAAGACATTGCAATGAGCGGATGCTTACAGGTAGAATAAACATAGCACTGAGGTCCCTTGCTGGTCTCATCAACAACGCAGACAGCCAAGATGTTGGGCTGCTGAACACGGGGCATTGGGCTCGAGGCAAAGTTGTCGAGGGGGAAGTTCAGGCCCATTATACTACTGTTATAATTACTATTAAACTGTTTAAGGCCCTCCATGTTGGTTTGCTGTCTTCGCTAAGCGGTGTGTAAAAAAGTGGGAGCTGGTGTTGTCTTTGAGTGCTTGAAAAGCGAAGTGGTTTTTGTTAATGTGTGCTGGGTGTTGGGTGTTGGGTGTTGATTGTGAGATCGAAAAGGTGTGATGATTTAAACAAAACAAAAAGATGAAAGCCTGCCTGGCTCAAGTGGGAGAAATGCTGCTCTGGATTGTGAGGCTATAATCCACCCGTATAATTTTATATAAACCTATATAAAATACCAACAGATGTCACCAACGCCGGAGAACTCTTACTTGGCAACCCCTATAGGAAATCCATGTAAAATACTTAGTACATTTGCCGAAGACAAAGGCGTAAACAACAGACCATAGGCCCGATTTTCAGATAAACAAATTACATGGATTTCCTAGGGGAGTTGACTTGCATACAACGTGGCAAATGGATTTCCTGCAGGGATTGTCAAATATGATTGACGACCCAGGTTGCCTTGTTCCGCTCGTTCCAGTGATGCCTTTTTGATCCACTTCCACTACAATGGCGACTTGCAGACATGTGTCCAGGCTGGACCTTAGATCAACTTTGCGGAAGCTAACGAATCTGTTGGGTCGCCCTTTTGAACGACAACGTGCGTTTGGAACCACCGCATCAGCCTCTTTTCAAGGTCGTTTGTTATTTTCAGGAACGCAGGATGTACATAACTCATGGAGTACTTTACGCACACGGCACTACCCTGCCTCTCGGCTAGGCACTCTGACAACCAACAATCGATTCAGTGCGGTTCATGGCCAATGTGCTCGCCAGAATCACTTACAGGCTGCAACAGTAGATCGTGATCATAACCTCTTCCCATCGAAGCGGTATCCGATCCGCTACACTCCTCCAGGCCCTGCGCCAGTCGGTCAAAAATACCAGACTCTGACTCTCTATACCATTACACCGATCCCTGAAGATCAACTTGAGGATCTCCGGGACGAGGTATTTTTCCAGCTGGTTCAGTTTAGCATTACAGGACGGATCTATCTCGCCAAAGATGGGGTCAATCTTCATCTCTGTACCCCTGTGGAGCACATCAAGGACTTACAGTCGTCTTTGCAGCAACTTGTACTGGATCGCTTCGGGAAGGGGCCAGACGGGGCAATTTGGAATTTCTCATGTGAGGAGCCAGGCGAGCGAGTCTTTCGGAAGTTGAAGGTTGCGGTCAAGAAGCAATTGGTCGCGGACGGAAGGCTGGGTATGTGGGATGTTCAGGATTCGGAACCGCCTCAGTACCTGGAGCCGGAGGAATTTCATGCTCAACTGGACGAGGTTAGCGACAAGACGTTACTTGTCGACATGCGCAACCATTTTGAAAAGTAGGGTTTGCTTTTATCGACTATCGAAACTGTACTGTTACCAGGATTTACATACTGATATATGAATTCTTTCACCACCCATTGCTGCAAAATAGTGAGGTGGGGGCGTTCAAGACGGCGGTCAAAATGGACTGCACCACATTCAAGCAAAATATGGATCTTCTGGATGAGCTCTTGGAAGGACGAAGCAAGAATGAAGAGGTCATGATGGTCTGCACAGGCGGAATTCGCTGCAGCATTTCTGGACGGTATCTGAAGCAGAAAGGATTCAAGGACGTCAAAATGGTGAGTACTTACACCCGATCTTTCAAGTCTCGCAGCTGACAGGGATTTGTTTCTTAAAGAAAACTGGGATTAATGCCCTTTGATCCCCTCGTTCGACATAGCTCAAGGGAGGAATCACTAGTTATGGCCGTTATATCAAATCGCAGCCGGACAAAAAGTCGCATTTCGTGGGCAAGAACTTTACGTTCGATGGGAGACGAGGCGAGCGAATTACGGACGACGTGGTCAGCTCTTGTCACCAGTGCCATACAGCTCACGATGACTTGACCAACTGTGCCAACACGCGCTGTCATTTGCTCTTTATCCAGTGTCCAGCCTGTCGCCAAAAGTGGGCCAACACCTGCGGACCTGACTGTCACGAAGCAGTCGCGACGGGCACTGGGTCCGCATTGTCGAAGCCATACGATTATCATGCGCAGGTGCGACCAGGGCCACTCTTGACGTCAGACATCCCGAAAGCTGCATAGAGTGGTAAATAAAAAACTCCCCATTTTTATTTTGCAAAAGGATACGGGGTTTCATAAGCTTGTCTGCAACCCACAATCACCGCTCGGGCGCCTCTTTCTGCTCCAGCTGCATGATGAACTTCATTTCGACGTCAGAAACAGGCTGCACCGAGAGCCGGCCTTTATTCAGCAGTTTCATCTCCTTCAATTCGGTATCCTTGTATTCCTGGAGCTCTTTCAGCGTCAGTATCCTCTTCAGCTTGCGATCGAACTCGACATCGACCATGAACCAACGAGGGTCCTCCTTTGCAGATTTAGAGTCGTAGTATTCGCTTTTTGGATCAAAGGCCGTGTGGTCTGGGTACGCCTCCTTTACAATTTTAGCCATCGCTGCAAGGTAGAGAGATATAGCCAACAGAAATAGAAAAGAACAATTAAAAAAATGGGAACATGGATAGGGCACCAGAATCGCCTTTGACCACATGTGCTTACCGACGACTCCTGGCTCTTTCGTATTGGAGTGATAGAATAGCACCCGATCGCCGACTTTCATACTGTTCTTCATAAAGTTCTTTGCCTCATGGTTTCTCTACAGAAATAGAAATGTTCATGCAACAGTCAGTTTTTTCAATCAAAATGACAATTGCGTACCGCTTGCCAGCACTTACAACGCCATCCCAATGTGAGGTCGAATCCTTTGAGTTGATCAAATCGTCGATACTGAACGTGTCAGGCTCAGATTTCATCAACCAGACACTGGTTCTGGTACCATCTGTATTCTTGTGCTCCTCTACGCTGACGGCCGTGTGCCCATTATTGCGTCGTTTTGGTTTGACTAGCTCTTCCTTTACGTAGCTCACTTTGGTCTGCTCTACTGAGTCCTTGGCTGAGGTCTGCGTAAATGATCGTCGCAAGCGATAGGCGATAAAGAGAGTTGAACTTGCGTTAGGATACAGGGCTGGCCGAAGGATCTTATCCATCGAAGCGCGCAAAGTGGAATGAAGAGAGGACTTACATGACTTACATGAGCTGCCTTCTTGGATGTGGTAGCTGAATCCTCGGATTCAGTGACGCGCTTTCTTGATCGGGTCTCCATCGATAGTTCTTGCGCAGGGGATGGCGTTGGTGATTAACCGCGAGTCGCGTTGACAAGATGCTTCAAGAGAGGTTAAAGGGGTTTCAGCGGTGGATAGACCCACCAAATTTCAGCCTACACTCTTTTTTTCGATTTGCCGTATTTTCACTATGGCAAATGCGGTATTTCACTGAATTAAAATATATGCTCGTGGGTATTCAATCGATACGTCAGATATACTTTATATCCTCGCAGAGTTTGCCTTATATCTTCATCAGCAATAGTATATTCTCACACACACTCTTCTCTCATCCGCTTTCTCACGTCCCATTCTCACCTCTTTATCCAAGATGCCAAAGCATAGAACAACCAGCTCTGGCACCAACCCCCGCTCACAACGATCACCCTTAAGGGTAATGGAAGCAATGCCTCTTCTGCTAGTGCAAGTGAGGACGCGCCAACTCTCTTGCACCGTGCACTGCTTGCAGAAGCACGAGCTGGCTCATTTCTAAAAAGTCAACCTTCGCAGGCGATTGACCTCCGTAAATATCGAGGAAAAGGGTTTCCTCTTCGGTATCGTATGGAGCTTGTGGAGATTTATCGCCACCTCCGGCAGAAGAAGGATGTTAGAGTGATGCCCACCAACCTTCATTCATTTGTACAAGCAGATATCCATCGAGATTCGATTAAGCAATGGGACAAGGATTACGACAAGACCAAGTACGATGTGTTCCATGGTCGAGGCAATAAATGCAAGCTTTCTGACGATCAATCCATGCTGGTACGATACTTGATTGATCAGGCTGTTTATGACTGGCTGATCGAAGTGCGAAAGGATAGTGGTATTATCAGTGGTCGACAACTCCAGGCTGCAGCTGAAACCATTTTCCATGTGCTTGTCGATGATATTGCTCCTGAAAGCATGTCACTTGGTCGTACCATGTCCTTCACAGCATCATGGCTCTCTCGGATGAAGGAAGAATACTGCGTCGCAAGTTTCAATCTCAAAGGCGAGGCGGGCGCTGTCGACATGCAAGCAATCGAACCAAGGATGGCCGAGATCCGCAAGATCTGCTCCGAATACAACCCTGAAGATATCTACAATTGCGACGAGACAGGGATGTATCTGCTGGAGGTGCCCGCCCGCTCCTATAGCACCCCAGAGCTCAAAAGGGGTGCCAAGGCTACAAGAGGAACTGGCTCTCGGGTGTCAGTTCTCTTTTGTATCAATGCCACTGGTTCTTCACTTGCACGAAAAGTAAATATACCGGCGTTGAGGCCGCTCGTTATTGGTAAGTATATATATAAACTCGCTGCACCACATAAACAAGATCTGTAATTTCATTCCTATGTTTCGCTCTGTTTTGATACTTTAGGCGAGCATCTTGCTCGAGGCATTGAGCAATGCAAGCAAGTCCCCATTACCTCGATAAGGCATCAAAGGGATACATGACCCAGCAGCTCTTTGAGGGGTGGCTTCATCTTCTCGACACCAGTCTCTCTGCACCAAGTCTTCTTCTCTTCGACTCCTGTGGAGCACACAGCGGCATTGGCAACATCGACCCGTTGACAGGGCAGAAGTGGACACGCCTTCGTCTTGAACGTCTCCCAGCAAACTCGACATCTGTCACCCAACCATTGGATGCTGGCGTTATTAGCGTTTTCAAGCGACAATACGTCGAGACGATTGTAAAGAAATATGCCCATGGAGCGAAGGTCACCAACGGCGAGGCGTGGAGTTTAATCCCATATGCATGGTCGCAAGTGAAGGCTTCAACACTACGACAATGTTTTCGCACCACGAAGGTTCTTCCTAGGATGATGGCTGACAATCTCGAGGAGAGATCGGCAGGTGTGCAGGAGCGACAACCCATATATCCACCAGTCGCAGAGACAGCCAAACAACAAACGAAGCGACACTTTCTTCGTTTTATTGCATCGGCCTTGGACGGAGAAAGGTTCAACTTTAACCTTGAAAAGAACCAGAAGGATGCGCAGGATCTGGCAGAGGAGATAAGGAAGGCGGTGCGCGAGAAGTTGGCCATGAGAGAAGCTCTATTTACGCCACGAGAACGAGAACGGAGTTCCTCCATCGATTCCGACGATTACAGCCTGTTCAAGGTCACATTCGGAGCAGAGAGCTTGGCGATGAAGGTGGAGACTTGGCTTGCAAGCGACGACCCAAAGGCTCGAGCGACCGCACGATTTGTTATCCGTAATTCCATGCAAAATTAAAAATCGATTGAATACCCACGAGCATATATTTTAATTCAGTGAAATACCGCATTTGCCATAGTGAAAATACGGGCAAATCGAAAAAAAGAGTGTAGGCTATATTCGCTTTAGACAGGTTTAATAAATGATCACTGAGTAATTTAGAAAGCACTGTTTCTTCGCCACTATAATCGGCGGCTTGCTCCTGTTTCCGTACATCCCAGATCTTCTCCATGGGCTGAGGTAGGGAGGTGTTTTAAGGATTCGGTGGCCAAGCTTTTCCGCAATAGCGCACGCGTTACAGGCCAGTCGCTCGTCCCTTGTCGCCTCCTGGATCATTGCGTAGAGTTGGGCCTCTGTCGGATTATCTACTGATCTCGCTATGTCGTGCTCTTCCAACCACTGTCTCATCACATCCCCTCCGAGCTTCTTTGTTGAGCGACTTGATACTGAAACGAACATGATACGACGCACCGCCCACATGTATATCGCAGCTCTGGTGGTTAAGGTTGTTCGAATCAGTCTTTGTCCATGACAAGTTCACAACTTAAAAGCGGTAGTCAAGATCACAAACTGAAGCACTCAATGGGTTCGAAAAACCAAAGAGCGGGAGCGAAAGCGGCGAACAATGAAGAGATCAAAGCCAGGGTATGGGGTATTGTGCGTCCGTAAATGTTGACCATGGCAGCCCGCTGTCTTAAGTAACTCTTCCGATTCTAAGCAATCCTCTCGTCCCAACGTCCTTCACCGACCCTGGCCAATATCACCAGCACCGCCGCTGCGTCCAGCGCCAGATCAACAAACAACAGCGCATTCGCCATGCACCCACAAATAGGGAGCGTGAACCGGGTTTAGACCGTTGTGAGACAGGTTAGGCTTACCCTGCTGATGATATATTGTTGCAATAGTAACTGAACTTAGTACGAGAGGAATCGCGCATTCGCATAATTAGTATCTGGGCCTGCCTGAGCAGGCAATGGCCCAAAGCTATCATCCGTTGGATTTTGACTGAACGGCCTCAAAGTCAGAATTCGTGCTAGAATGCGACGATTGCCACCCTTTTTCGATTTTTAGTTGAATACGAATCGACCCTCGGGTCCTGAATCATACTATGTGGGGGGTGGCCTTGTAGAGCGAAAAGGCTTTATGAGGCTCCACCGATGTTAATTTCAAATATTGGAAGGGATAAATCCCATTGCAGCAAACAACTTTTAAGCAACGGTGTTACTGTGCGCGGCTGTGCGTCTATATCAAAGCGTGAGCTCAATTGTTGTATGATCGTCCTGGAGGTGTTCGTTGTTCTAATGTTGTTGAACTTCGTCACGATTTTCCGTCAATGCTTCCCTATATCGAGGCTCTAGTTGTTTTTGAGGTCGACCTTGTGTTGGTGATGACACTATTGGGTCTGGGGGTTCATCGTCTCCAAAACCATTTTCGCTCTCGTAGTAACGAATGGCCCTCCCTGCCGCTAAATTTGATTCACCAGCAGCCTTAGCCAGTTGATCGCGCGTGCGAGAACCAAGACGACGCGTCAACTCGGTAGGAAGCAGTTCGAGGAATCGATGAACTTTGTTACATTAACATTTGATGTCCTTTGAAGGACCAATTTATTATATAGGTCAATACTGACCTGAACCAGAATGCACGGGACGTTCGCATAAATCGAGGATCAGTAGGCATAAGTTCTTTGATGGTTGTCATGGTGAAAGTGCGAGGTGAATGGCATTCTATTGATCATTTATTGGACCTATCTAAAGCGAATATTGCCAGCTTTGGGCTAGACTGAAACTATGAGTGTACTATCGCTGGCCCATTGTTTTGCGTCGCGGACTCTACTAACAGTTCAACTATAGGATTATACATCGATTTATTTTAACCAACGTTGCAGATCGAACATAAATTGTAGTGTACGCTTGGTACGCGTCGTAATGACGGATGTTAAATAAAGACACAATTGTTCCCTAGGCACTCAGACGCGACAAATTACTCTACACGTTTAGCCTTGGTTGCTCTCGCCTTCTTAACGTCAGCCTTACTTGGCTTAAATCGCTTCATAAGCGACTCGATCATCTTGTAGAACCAGAACAAGTTCAGGCTGTTTAGGACCACGTTTGCTGCCGAGTAAATTATGATTAGGTGCCAAGGGACCTGATGCAGAACATCCATCACGCTGACATAGGCATGATAGGACATGTACAGGCCAAAGACGATCCTGGCGCTAAAGAAAACTGCCAGCAGGATAATACCGTTGATGAGCTGGTATATGCTTCCTGTCATGCTCAACTTATCCTATTGATACAGGAAGAAGATAATGACCCCAAATTTGGTCAATGGATCCGTGCGAGCTGCGATTGCGTTTCAATAAATACTCTCTTTCATGTCTTGTTTCCGTACCATGAACCAGTGAATATTGAGGAACGGTGTACTCAACTCAAACATCAAAAAGACACTCCCATAGTACTGCAGGAACGGTCTCTACAAACAGGGAAAGTAAGCAACACCAGTAGATATCAGTTTCGAGAGGTGATTTTATGCAGAATGGTATCGAATGCGTCCTCTGGAACCGAGTTTGGAACTGAAATGCTTACGAAGCTGAAGATAAAGACGCCGAATGAGCAGATTCCATGAAAGACAAATCCAATACCAAACTCCTTCATGTAGCGGATGCTGTGGAGCGTGTCCCAGAGGAAGTATCTAGATAGATCAACATTTTGAGTAGCATTTGGCATTAGTCATGGTTTGTAGAAAACCTCTAATATCCTTCATATTTTACGGCATTTTTCCCCGCCGTTTTTTTCTAATTTAAGGTCGGCTGTAGAGATTCGCCCAACCTGAAATGGTCCAAACACTTCTTCTATGAAACCCCTACGTTCAATTGGTACATTTCTCCCTGCCCCTGTCCTATTCACATCTGGCTCGTCAAGGATATTATGTCCTTACCCGCATGCAACTGCATAGACCTGGCCAGCGTAAAAGTCGTATCCAAAGACCTTGTTCTTTATCAACGTCTCGTTCCATAGCAATGGGGCCGATAGTAGGACGATGGTGATCGCATGGACAGAAGACACCACATGAACTAGATGAATGAACCCAGACAAAATAAAAATAAAATGTAAATAAAGATGAGGAGCCCACTGGACATTCACGATGGCCTGATTCCTGCTCATCTGCAGCATGAAGTACCATCCCAGTTCAGTTTCTTGGCCCCCTGTAGCTTGGGATATGTGCCTGGGAATAGCATCGGGCTGATCAGCCCTGAAAGCTGCACAATGATATTGCAGACAAGGGCAGAGGCCAAGAGTGTTGTCCAATGGTTGCTCAGTGTTGCCACACCAAGAGAGTCAAGTACGTTGGTGGCCATGGCTGGAAAGTAGTGATTCTACTTTATTTATCTGAGACAGTGTCAGGTACGCTGCGTTACTCTGTTGGCCACTAATCAAGATAGGTCGGCAGTGGAGTCGAAGACAAGGTGTTGCAGAGTGTCGGTTGAAGGAACGAAGGAGGAAGAAGAGTAGAGGAGAAGGAGAGGAGGAAGAAAGGAAAGAGGAGAAAGGGACAGATGTGCTGGTAACCATCAGCCCCACAGTAAGTCCAAGGAAGGACTGGTTCCCTCAATTAAACAGAGCGGACAAATTTCAGCCGAAAGTCGACGCGCCTCCGCCGAGACCGATAAAAACTCCGGGTAACTTCATGAAGTCATACAATCCTCATCCATCAGCGTAGCATAACATAGCCTTGTAAATCGCGGTCTGCAAGAAAGTGGAAAAGCTCCAATAGAATACGATTTATACGGATTTTATTTTTCGTATTTGCCCTTCGATCCTACTGTCCCTCTCTATGCATCGTTTGAGTGTCCAATAATCTTGGTCAATTCTAATAGAAAGTAAAATAATTAACATGTCAGATTATTTCAACAGCAAAGCGGCACGGCAGCAGCGCAAGGAAGCCAGACAAAACACGTACGCTCGAACTTGATGTTCTCCGTCAAGACGGTGGTCTTAGCCTCGTTGTCCTTGTTGACTGGAATGGAGACAACGCCGTTGGCCTCGGTCCATCCTTGTGCGCTAATAAAGTCTGACAAAGCCTGGCCCTTCAAATGGATATATTTCTCCAAGCTAGCAAGCTCAATCGACTGGAAAGTCATGGCGACAGCGTTGGCAATATCTGACCAAAAAAGGAGGGAGTAATCAGTCAAGTATGATCAATGGTGTGAATGCAGCTGGAATCCAATGGCATGCGCTGAAACATAAGATACATACTGGCGCGAATAGAATCCTCAAATCCAAGGACCTCGGCTGTCAGCTCCTTGTAGATGTCATCGCCCTCATACGCCTTCCAGAAGTCGGCATATCGTGCCTGCTCAAGCAGATCCTGGAGAGCGACCAGACGAATAACGGGCTCCTCTGTGACCATTTGATCGTTCAAAAGATACAAGCACAAGTTAAAGTCAGGCTCGGGCAACGTCGTCAGAGCCTTGACAAGGATGTTGTTGACGACCTGGTCGTTGATCAAGTGCAAGTTGAACTGGTACCTAGTTTGATTCGAGAGGGACAAAAGGCGATCAGGATACCATCATTGCACCATGGAAAGGTAGAAGAGGGTTGATGACCCCACCCATGGCATGCTGAGGCTGCAAAACAGAATGATAAAGGATCATAGGATGGCTTCCGTGAGCTGAACGCCCTGTGTCCTGTGGTTGATTGGGTTTGAAGAAGGCCTGGGGAAATATCCCTCTTCAATAGTTTTTGTCGGGCGAACAACTCGTCTCCATATCATCACATGCGTCCAAAGTCCCAACCAGCGTTTCTTTATCCCAGCCAGCGGAATAAGATAATAGCTCCTGAGGGGAAAAAAGTCTCTTACAACTTGAGGATGGCCAGGTTAGCCATGGAATCACACTCCTTGTTGGTGCACTGTGTGGCCAGGTACTCCTCCAGAATCGAGACGTTGTCGGGGTTGTATCTGTCGACTCCATCGATGAGGGACTGGATGACCTCGGGGCGGGAGGCAGGAGTGTTGGAGACACGGGCCATGGTGATGATGATGCAGTGAAGGCAAGCGAGGAGTGGTGGAATCCAATGCCAATTTGATTCACATTACGACCTCTAGCAGGAAAATCAAAACAAAAGGTCCCTTAAGGGTTCTGCAGCCTCTCTTGTCGTATTATTGAAGGCGAGTGTCACACCAGCTTCAAATGTATGCAGTGTCCTTGGCCATTGCCCCCAATATCCCAATATCCAAGAGGTGTGTACCAAAGATGATTTGTACTTCAATTGCTTCCTTCATTAGAAATCCTGGGTATAACCTACAACTGGCTAAACCTCGAGGTAATAAATCGACCTCATAATCACCAAAACGCTCTTAAGAGTCGCAGTAGCATTGTTCTCAGATGATGTTTCCATAATGGTCTTCTGAGTAAAAGAACGCCGGTCATTGCACAGCAATTGTGTCGCGAATACGATCGAGCTTATTTCAGTTGTTGCAGGTGCATAGCAGCTTATGGCCCTCCTCCTTACAAGACACAACAGAGTCGTTTTAAACGAACCGTTTCATCAACACTCACTACAGATAGCTATAAATATCGCATAGAATCGTTTGGCAATCATACCAACAGCGCCTCCATCATACATTGAGAGTTACGGGGTACGCTCTTGTAGGGCTCGTCTGTTTGAACACAAGGAGGAGCACAGGGTCATCCAAGAGGCTCGTCGTCAAGCAGGATGCATGAATCCACTCTAATACTGTGCTATCGACATGTTTCTCAAACCAGCCTGACCAACGATCACCATTGTGTTTCCGTCAAAAGGCATCCAAAAACCATGTATTCTTCAGCATATTCTCCTGAGCGTTGTTGACGAGATAAAATATGATGGCGTCTCCGACCAGGAAGAAGGTCATGAGGAATACAACAGGCACGCATGTCTTTGACCGAGTAGGCGTGAAGGACGATGAGAAGCGAGCAGAGCGCGTGTTAGCGAGGCTTCCCCATTGTATCGCGTGGTAGACCCTGACACGACGCTCCCATAACGCAAACGTTGCCGCCAGTAGTTTTGTACTTCCTGATCTGAGCAGGTCCAGCTGATTGGCGGGATGCAATCCGATTTTGTTATGCCACAAGTAGAGGGTAGCATGTTCCGTTGACAAGCGACTCGCATGGGTCAAATTTCTATTCTTTGCCTGACACAAAACGGGGTCTTGAAGATCGTCCACCAGGCTTATATTAGTCAGGCTCCACAAACCACACACCTGGCATCAGCGATAGCTCTTGGTAAGGTTAGTCATCCTATTATCTGTAGTTTTTCATCCTGCTTCCTTCTATATGTTTTCGTCGTTCCGCCCTATCATAGCTTCTCTGCTCTGCTCAAGGTGTCCGGTCTTTTCGAAGCTCGATTAAGGCCATTTACAAGATTTATTTGTAAGGCATGACTGTCTCAGGTTAATTGTGCCGATTTATTCGTTATTTATTAGCACAATGGCAGGCCGGCTAAAGTTCTTTTGGTTTTTGGAGAGGGAGAGGGGGAGGCTGTTCTTGTCGAGTGCCGTACCTTTTTTTTATTTGTCTCTAACACAATCCCCTCCATCCCCCTCGCTCAAGTCCTCCTGCTTGCTGCCTCTCACCATTCGCTTCCCTTCCATCTTGTCCCAAGGCTCTCTTTTATTGCACCACACATTCCCTCCTTCTCCCCTTGTCGTCTTCTTCCGTCCCTCATATTCCTCTTTCTTGTTTCCACTTTGTTTTTGTTTCTTTGCCACTATATACCGCCGCTCCTACGACACAAACATCATACCTTTCCTCTCTCTCTTGGAATTCTGCTGGACACACCCGAGAGACGCTCTAGTGCGTACCAGCCAGATCGACTGCAGAAGCGACCAGCCAAGGGATAACAAGGCTCGCACTCATTCAGAGAAGGGGGGCGCATTCGTTTCAGAGGGCAGAGACCATTGGAACAACAACCACTCGTTCAGCAGCAGACATGTCCTTGGAGGACACAGAGTCACCCGTCCTAGACGACAGCCCGCAGGCGGAAACTGTCACCACACGTCCTCGAAAACAATCGGCTGAAAGCATTGCTGTACGGCATAGAAGGGAAGCCATAGCGATTGATGGGCTGATGTTTGAATCAGGGTCGGGCCAGGAAGAGTCATCATCAATACCCCTCCAACAAAATGTAAGAACCTGCTCTATCCACACGGAGTTGTACTACGCTCTGAGGATGGTCTTGGAAGCCAAACTGAGCTTGTGGGATGCAATCTACCGGCTGTACACATGGCCCAAGGACAAAAAGCCAGAACAACGAGAAGAGATGGTTGTAGAGAGCCTAGCTGAACTTGTCTCACTACCTTCATTGTACCCAGCTATTTACCAATCAACCCTTATGAACATCCCAGCCTGGTCACTGACTATTAACCTGGTCAAGCATCGTTCTCGAACCCGCTTGGCCTGACTGCAATTGTGGGGTCTGCATTGACTTGATTATCAGTTGCGCGGACTAGGAAGGTCATGTTATTCTTTGGTTGGGTTGGGGTGATTGTATCACTGGATTAGTAGATGTTGACAAGGGTGGCAAATAATTGATTTCAAAGTATTTTGGTGAGCACCACTATGAGATATTTGATTATTGACGCTCTCTTCTTTTCTGTTTGACTACTGCATTAGTCTGGACCCGACAATGAAGCAAGCGGCAGAGGAATGGATGCCAGGGGGCAGAACGACTTGAGTGATTGTGGATCAGAGCCAAGCAGCCTCCCGAGTAAAGATAAGAACGGCGACGGTGTCTTGGAAATAGCAACTTCGAACCTGGATAAAGTGGCGAGCACGACGATGAGGAATGGTTCACCACAAAAGACGTCGCCTGCGCCCCTTTCATCCACCTCTTCCGCCTCATCGGCGTCATCGCCATCTACAACAACGACATCCCCTGGTTCCCCTCCAGAGTCCCCAGCAGAGGACCGAGAGATATCTTCTCAGCTACAGGAACCTGGCCACGGGGCGGATCTTACTTCCTCCGCACTGCAGGGCAATCTTTCCCCTCCCACCATTGTCCGATCCTTATCGCACTCCAAGAGGCAGAGTGTTTTCTTGGCAGACCACATCACCGTCTCGCAGGAAGGCCCCCTCATCGACTCTCCATCGACTCACTTGTCTGGTTCAAATGATGACTCACAGGATATGAAGGAGGTGGAGATCGAGACCACAGATCCCTCTCACTTGTTTTGGGTAAGTTCACAGCATTCTTGATCCTTGCTTTCCTGCAGAATAGTCACGATAAATCAGATATTGACGCGTCGTCTTTCGACTCCCTAGGTACCATTCCATCTCCATCCGGAAATTGCCCCCAATGAGTACAACCAATGGCTGACCAAGCATGGAGTCGAATCCGAAACTGCGGATGGAATTATCTCGTCAAGGAAAGCTTCCGTCACGCGTCGAAAATCCGTGTTATCAGCACAATACAACCCCGAAGAAGACCAGGAGGATCGCCCCAGCAGACCAGCAAGACTTGAGGAAGAGGCTGCCGGCCAGGACTTTCTGTCGGGTGTATTTTCTGTACCCCTGGAGCAGATGGGGGAGCCACCACTGAAAACAAAGACGTCATTAAGGCGCAGCGTCAGTCTTTCTGTGTCTTCCCCGACAAGTAAGTACATTGACCTTGGTCGTAATGGGTATCATGGCGAAGCATAGTGATATGTGGCCAATATTTCGAGTGGGTAAAAGCTTCAATTCGGTCTAACCCTCTACTGTACTATTTCGTAGGAGATCACTTTCCTGCGGACGCCGTCGAGGAGGATCTCATATCTGTTAAGCGAACAGGAGGACTTGAGAGGGGAGGTCTCTCGCTCCTGCGGAGGAGCGCGAGGACAAAACTTCGTAGGAACTCCTCGGCATCAAACGATACGAGAACTGATGTGTCGCGCTTGAGGCAAATCACAAATGCCAACGGCGAATATCCTGCGGTTTCACTAGTCGATCCTGGTCCACAGCCTTTGCCATCCGCTAGTCAGTCTTCAACCACAACACCAACGTCTTTTGACACCGCTAGTAAGGGTCGACGGGATGGGGATGTACCTCTGAAACGCTTCGTGTCAACATTAAGGGACAGCTCAAAGCCCACAATCACGACATATGTCGAACCGCATTTGCTGGAACAACAGCGCAAGGAAAACGAGGAAGCACAAAGAGAAGAGGATGGGACGCCTTCATTCCGTGTCAGCGCGCCTGCTAAGCTGGAGAACTCGGCAGCAGCGCGCCTCTTGGTGGAAGCGATAGAGGATGACCGCCAGGAAATGCCTGACAACTTCACGGTCAATTATCCAATCCCGCCACCCGTCAAGTTGACCAAGAACCTACTTCAACAGCCGGTTTCTCAACAGCCTCCATCCTCTCAGATCCCTCAATCACCAGTTAAGCAAAAGCAAGTTGGTCAACCCGGTACTCCATCTCATGCCAAGAAACCTTCGACTTGGTCTTGGTTATGGGGCAAAGAGAAAGGAAGCGAGAAGAGCACGGATTTATCTTCCGCTGGCCTTAACGCCGCAGGATTACCACAGGTTTCTAATATCGAGTCCAATACATCTATGTCCTCTCCAATGGAAACCACTGTTAAAAAGCAGTCCACTCTCTCTATGCTGTTTTCAAGGAACGGTAAATCGACTTCATCCAAGGCGCAGGCGACCACGGCTGAGACTACACACTCCGCAACCATTAATGGAGTTTCAGGACAATCCGTATCATCTGAAAGGCCCAAGTACAGCAACTACAATCGGCTACCGATCCACATTGAGAGAGCTATCTATCGTCTATCACATGTGAAGCTGGCTAACCCACGGCGACCACTGCACGAGCAGGTGCTGATTTCCAACATGATGTTCTGGTACCTGGGCGTGATTCAGCAGCAGCAACAACTCCAGCAGCAGCAGCAAGTGGAATTACAGAAACAACAGCACCAGCAGGCGTGGCAGCAACAACAAAAGCAGGGCGGAAAAGGATCGGATTCGAGGGAGGATGGTAAGGAATCCAAGTCGAAACTGAAGCCGAAGAAGAGGAAGAGTCAGAAGAAGAAAAGCCGAGGTTCACCCAAACCAGCGGAGCGACTTGTCAAGAGCCCCGAATACGAAAAGCAGCAACAACAGTACCACGGCAACCTGGCAGACAATCATATCACACGTCCACGGCAGCCAGGTGCAAGTCTTGCATTAGGGAACCATCTGCAGGACGGCGCCAACTATTATGGTGAACCTGACGAAGAGAGTCGGATCAGCGGAAATGGCAAGGATGTCTCGGACTCGTATGAGGAATCAGAGGGAGAGGAATCTTTGTCTTATCAACAGCAGCAGCAAAACTTGAAGATCGGTTCCCAATCGGATACTTTGAAGACACTCTCCATCCAACCCGCACTCAATAATGCTCAGGAAGATGAGGAGGATGACAACGTGCCCCTTGCACACTATCAGAACATGCCGCGTCAAACGATCCCTGTATCGTAACAGAAACCCAATAAAATATACTAAAAGCCCTTAAGAGATTCTCAAACAAATTTTGTGTTGGTCAAAAGCGTGTGCGGTCTCTGTAGCTGTTTGATTCCCTCTTTCACTTCAAAATGGTTTGTGTCGCGGCTACTGCGTTTTTTTTGACGGGATTGTCTTGGCCAATCAGAGCGCAAGAATCATGCAGCAACAACCATCATCATGGATATGTTGCACCGGCACCTCCAACCATCCATCTGTAGATCGACCTTATGAATACACCCATCGACCTATCGGCAGAGTTGTCGCCCATCTTTATCTGGACAGTGACTTCAGACGCACACTTACTTTTGATCGGCATAAGAGCAATAACGAATCCTAAGAATCATCTGAAGAGATCAGGACCGGCCGGAATGTGAGGAAAACGAGTCAACCATTCAGACAATGCTCTCCAGTCCAACTTTTTGACGTCAGGAACTCATGGCAGATGTGAAGTCAGCACGGAGCAATGTCGATCCAGAAAGGACACCACCTAACCTCGGTCTCTTGCTGTACCGTTACATATCTAGGCTCGTGGACCCAAAAAGCACTTGAAGCGCCTCAATGCTCCCAAGCACTGGATGCTGGACAAGCTCACCGGCACTTATGTATGTGTGCATCTTTGGATATTGAAAAAAAAAAATCAGCGGGACATTCTTTTCTTTCTGGACGACTGGTGCAAAGGAACAGAAGGAGAGTCTTTTATCACCTCAGCTACAGCAGTCTGATCTGCAGCACTTGTGGGGCTCGATCAGCGACGATCGGAAACAGGATGGAAGCTGATCAGTGCCAGATTAGATCTGCGATTGCCTCGGATGTTGACTTGCGATCCTACGCCTCCAGACGAATTTCGACACTGCTCTGTTATATTGGGCGAGACCATCTTGACTTATGGGTGGACTTGATAATACTGTTAAACGAGCTACGGCCCCTCGACTACTCAACAAAACTGGCAGTGAATTTGTGAACCATAGTGCTATCGTGAATAGAGGCTGCATGGAAGAGCATTACGACTAGGCGGCTTGGACCTTTCCCGAGGATACTTTCAGGACGACTTTTTGCGCCCATCATGGACTATACCTTTTTGGCTCAAGTCCTTACTCACGCATTTTCAATTCAACTCGTGTGATCATCACGATTATAGGCCCCTAGACCTACCGCTGGTCCCCATAAGCTGCGCGAGTGCTTGCCTCTCGTCATCTTGATGCGCAACCGTCTGAAGTACGCCCTTAACGGCAAGGAGGTTCAGTCGATCCTTATGCAGCGCCTTGTCAAGGTCGACGGCAAGGTCCGCACCGACTCTACCTTCCCCGCTGGTTTCATGGATGTCATCTCCATCGAGAAGACTGGTGAGAACTTCCGTCTTGTCTACGATACCAAGGGACGCTTCACCGTCCACCGCATCACCGCTGATGAGGCCCAGTACAAGCTGTGCAAGGTCAAGAAGGTTCAGCTCGGTGCCAAGGGCATTCCTTTCGTCGTCACTCACGATGGCCGCACCCTCCGTTACCCCGATCCCTTGATCAAGGTCAACGACACCATCAAGCTTGACTTGGAGACTGGCAAGTTCAACGAGTTCATCAAGTTCGAGGTCGGTAACGTCGCTATGGTCACCGGTGGTCGCAACACTGGTCGTGTCGGTGTCATCACCCACCGCGAGCGTCACATTGGAGGCTTCGACATTGTCCACATCAAGGATGTTCTCGACCGCCAGTTCGCTACCCGTCTCTCCAACGTCTTTGTCATTGGTGAGGGCAACAAGCCCTGGGTCTCTCTCCCCAAGAACAAGGGAGTCAAGCTCACCATTGCCGAGGAGCGCGACCGCCGCCGTGCTGCTGCCAACTAAATGTTGTCGTGTAATTCAAATAAAAGGCCGACTTTGAGGTTCTGCGAATATATGCATTGTGTTATGCAATGGTTGCTGTGCTGTTGGCGAAAGTGCTAGACGCGTAATTGCTGGAATAGCAAGACCCTTTGGTTGGCTACAGAATTATGGGGTGTGGACAAGGGGTGCATATGGATCGTTCATTCGTCCATTCTCGACAACCTTGTTTTTAGTCCCGTGCTCCTATCTCTGCCCTTTTTTTTTTATCCTGCGTCCTTCATTCTTCATTCCTCACCCGCTCCGCCATCCTTCTTTTCCGATTTCGACCAGTCTCCTCAGTTCCCAACTACATTCCACAGCACTTGTACCATGTCTTCACCACGCAGAAGAATCGAAACAGATGTGATGAAGCTGTAAGTGCCTGCGCTGTTTACAGGAACGAAATACACATGGTGCCCTTGTATGATTTTTTGTTCCCAGGTTCGTTGTCGACTAAAATCTACAGCAACCTATGCTCGCTCTTTTGCGGTGGTGAATAGGTTGATGAGCGACTACGAAGTGACCCTCGTCAACGACAACATGCAAGAGTTTTACGTCCGATTCCATGGCCCCTCCGATAGTAAGGCTCCTCCTTCTTCACCACTGCAGCACTTCCGACAAAATACGCATACCTACCCACGCATGACCGAATATAATGAAAAATGAGTTCCAGGGAGTGTAACTCGGAGGCTAGAGACTGCAAGGATCAGGGAACAAAAAAAGGGATACTGCGAACACCCCTCGTTTGCATCTACCCTTTTTTTTTTTTTTTGTTATACCCAACAATTGACAATGGTCCTTGCGCTCTCTTTTAATGATTCTCTCTTTAATAGCACCTTTTGCAGGTGGCGTCTGGAAGGTTCATGTGGAGCTCCCGGATCAGTACCCTTACAAGTCACCGTCGATTGGTTTTATGAACAGGATCTTTCACCCCAACATCGATGAACTGTAAGAAACCTGCATCTACTATTGACTTTTTTTCTTCCCAAGGATGAAATTATAAAGAAGACAGGATCATGGAAATTGTCCAGAGAGCTCGGTTAGTTGACCCTCCCATTCCTAATCGTAATTATACTGCTGGTGTATATAGGAGCGGATCGGTATGCCTGGATGTTATCAACCAGACCTGGAGCCCAATGTTTGGTAAGAAATGGCCTTCATTCAGAGATATCGCGGGAGATCTTTGTTTGAAGCCATTGTTCTCCACTGCAGAATGATTCACCAGTGTCTTTTTCTTTTCTTTATGATGTATGTAGATATGATCAACATCTTTGAGGTCTTCTTGCCTCAGCTACTTCGTTACCCCAACCCAACAGATCCCTTGAACGGCGAGGCGGCTGCGATGTTGATGCGTGAACCGACCGGATATGAGAGCAAGGTTAAAGGTACGTTGAGACTGCAATGCATCAGTTTACTCCATACAGGTTTAAGCACATACATTTTCCAGGACTTGTGCACTAAGTCACACTGGGTTTTTCTTTTTTCATTGGATTTGTAGAATATGTCTCGCGTTATGCTACAAAGGAGGCAGCAGATGTGGCAACGGACGGGAGCTCCTCGGACGACGACATGAGCTCTGTAGAGTCATTCTCGGATGATGATGAGGCGCCTGGTCTGGAGCTGTAGGCACAACGCAACATAATACAGGCAGGACTATCACCATCTTCGTTTCCTGGACGAGAATTCTGTTTAACTCATCCACTACAACATAACAACCACGAGAAGAAAATAAAAAATAAACCATCGACTCGATCATGACCTGGAAAGGCACAAACGAATACAACTTCGGCTTCGATTTTCAAGCAACACAACAAAGCAATTGTAAGACTCGATCATGCAACAAGGACTTCCTCTCGTATACAACGACGAAAACCAAGTTTCTGAAAGATCCAAGATTTTATTATGTTGGATGCAGTCCTGTTACCTACAACGTATTGGTTACACGACCCAGGGTTTTCCGCCGGTCTTGGTATCGTGATGAGGCTGGAACTCAAACGCTCCATCAACTCCGATCTGGCCCTTCAACGTGCGACTGTAAAGAAAGAGAAGACATGATAAATATTCGTTATTAGCCAATGCTTGACAACACAGATCAATTGACAAAGTAAAGACAGATAAAAAGAAGAGAAAGGGACGTACCCGATGCTCATAGCAACGTCGCGGTTGTCGGAAGATCGAGTCCACAATGCTATCCTGAAGAAGGCCTTTCGGACAGAGACGACGACTCCGCATACTTCACTCTCGTGCTCAAACGCCTCACCGATGCAGGCCAACATCTATATGGAAGAGAAGAGGGAGAGGATAAGGATTAGAAACACATTGAAACTGCCTGCCCAATTCCGATCGAGCGCTGTTCAGATCAAATCAAAATAAAAAACATGACAAGGGCAGACAACATGAGCAGAGGATAACATGTATTTCAAACGCAAGCATAAAACATGAACAACAAAACAAATAAAGCGAACAAAAAAAAAAGTATAAAAAAAAAGCAAAACGAAACAAGAACAGAATAGAAAAGAGATTGGTTGGTTGGTAGGCAGGACGTACGGTGTAAAGCCAGATATTGTCGATATCGCTCATGGTCTTGTTACGAGGCAGCTGGATGCTCCACTTTCCTCCGTGCTTGTTGGCAGAGTCCTCCCACATGGGCTTGATACCCTGCTTGAAGAGATGATAGTTGGAGCTGACCGACAAGTCGCATGTCTTCATGATGTTGTTGTACACTCTATGCGTTGGTCAGCAGGAAAGGAGAAGGAAAAAGAATCGCTGGGATTAGTTGTGGGTCCTGGTGCCTTAAGGACACGAAACAAGAAGCCCAAGACGCGTGCCTTTTAACAGCAACAACAATAACAACAACAAAAAAAAAAAAAAAAAAAAAAAAAAAAGCGTTTCATAATATTAATCTCATCCCCTGCTTCCCCAAAAGAAAAAAAAGAAAAAAAGAAAAAACGGCTGTTGTAGGCAGACAACCTTACCCCCAAAAGTCCTCGACGGTATCAAAGGTGATGAGTTCCTTGAGGGACTGTTCCCAGTTGTTGGCATTGGACTTCTTGCCCGGGTTATCGAACCAGAGGGTCCAGGAGTTGTTGAGAGGGTGCTTTGCATTGAAGTTGACAGGATCGTTAAAGACAGTGACGTATTTGTTGTCACCCGTGGGGACCTGGAGACTGTTGCTGTTGCCGTTGGAGTTGTTCTGAGCCATGGTTGCCGGAAAATGTGGTGGCGGTGGTATGGATATCGAGGTGGTGTGTGTGGATGTGGTTTTTTTTGTTTTTTGTTTTTTTTGTTTTAGTATGAAAGTATGAAGAATTGGATATGGATGTGTATATGCAGAAACGAAGAGAGAGCTGAGATATGTGTGATTGAAGAGTGGATGTAGATATGAAGACGGAGGAGTGCAATTGACAGCGGAGGATGCAAGGAAGAAAAGAAAAGAGAAGAGTACAGAAGAACGAAAGATACGACAGATACGACAGATACGAAGAAACTATGCTCGTGAAGAAAGATTGAATGCAAAGAGGTGGAGAAGAGAGAGTGGGGGGTGTATGTGTGATTGCAAGTGCGATTGTAAGAGTAGGTGTGGATGTAGAGGTGGCGAAGTATCGAGGCGTGGAAGGAAAGAGTGGCGATGGAAAGTGACAGGAAGGGTTCGATGGGAGTGGTTGGGAAAGACAGAAAGAAGGAGTGCAAAGAGGCAAATCAGTTTGCAACCGATGGCTTTGTCTCTTGTTTATTTTCCGTTCCACCATCGCATACTATAACTAATAATATATCAAGTTAAGAAATAGGAACACACTAGGCCTCCAGACCGGAGGTGAAATTTATCGACTTGCTGAGGATGTGTATTCCCCGTGTTCGTTCAGGACAAGCGCGGTGTACGACGCACGCCCCCCCCCCCCCCCCCCCCCCCCCGTGCCCACAAAGCTCGTTCAACAGTTCAACGCGATACTTGCTCCGCACTTGAATGGGATCGGTCTATTGCTCGGTATTAGCTATTCAGTATCTCTCTCGTTGGATATATCCGACAGAGCCGGCCTGCTCCCTCGAGGTTCAGAGTTTCCTGGACCTTGGGTCTTTAACTGGAGCCCTGAGTTTTTTCTGGATCGAGGCTGACATGTTCTCGCAACAGGGAGAGATTGTAGTCCTTTAGTATACAGAGCATTGGAGTCGAAACGAACTAGACTTGACGTGAGTGGGACATAGAAAGACCAAGCCCTGCAAGGATCGCGGAAGAGATAGAGAGAGAAAGACCATGCTAGTTACTCAATCACCTTCGTTTGTTCTTCATGCAAAGGCATTTTATGACATGGATTCATGCTTACCATGACTGAAATTGGACTGTATCAGTCCTTCGAGTCTGGTCGAGAACGCTTCATTGGCGATTGAATATTGTAGTGAAAAGCGCGGCAGGTAAACACGAGTCAGCTGGGGCTGGCCCAGAACTTGATAGTCTTCGATGCTTCTGCGGCATACAACGTCACCTTGTCCTCTATTCTTTCCTGTTCCGGTAGTGCTACCGCGGTCTTTGCATTCCTTGCAAGCCCGAGAGTCGGGTGTCCTTCAAGTGGTCATTTGAGAGAGACTATGCCGTACGGCTTCAAGTGCGCAGCTGACAGGAGGCCGAGGGCTTGGAAGCAGTCGCAGCAAGGTCGAGACGCTCCGGTAGAGCAAGCTCGGGGTCAGTCGAGTCCACCTATTCGAAGGGCCTTCCTTTAAATTTGGTACTCATGCAAACCTCCGCCTCAGTAGTGCAGTGGCATAGCTAGAGTCTCTTTTCCTTCGTGAGTTGGAAGACGAGGGTCAAATGGCGCATGGCGTCATTGAAAAGGCTGAGGTCGCTCGTTGCTAGCTGAAAGTGATCGTTCTAGGGATGGCAATGCGAGAAGAACCCTATGAATTTCATCTGGAATGTCGCGTGAGTTGCCTGTAAGGTGTGGAACATCGGTGCCTGAGGAGGACAGATTTCGCTTGATTAGTTCATATAAAAAGTAGTCATGGATTTTCGAATACAGGTAGAAGGCGCTACAGTTTTGAGGAAACAGGCAGAGCACCTTATAATGATTGAATGCCAGTGAAACACGAGCTGCTGCAGAAATATGATAGGCAGGGAATGCAGACTAGTTGCGGTATAACAGAATAATGTCAAGGAGGTTAAGTAGTCATGAGCCTGTTCTTTGTGCAACAGCATAGAAAACAAGGACACTTCGTACAGAATTGGCAGTACAACAAATGGGTGGGAGTAGAGTACGAATAGCAAAAAAAATAAAAGCGTAGAGTAGGTAGGCTAGCAACGAATGCCTTTACGTCCACTGCGGCTACGCGCTTACAGTGCTTAGTCAATGAGAATGTTCCATTAGTCAGTTTCAGCGCGCAAGTACGCTTTTGAGTTCTTCAGATTGCCTACATCCCTCCATACCCTTCTTCGCTCGTCTCTTCTCCTCTTCTTTGCCCATTCCTCTCTTATTCCCCCGCTATGCACCTAGGCCGCTCCTCAACGCTCTCCTCTGCTTCGTTTAGCTTCACGCATCTATTCTCTTTGACCATCTTCCTCCTCACCTCTCCTCACTCAATGATCGTTTCCCTCTCTTCACGCCCTGTGTTTATGAACTAGCTATTCATTCAGAACATAGCCCCTTAGTTGCGCCAAGGCACGCAACTCCATTAGAGAATAGAAAGGAGGAGCGAGGCATCAACGAATAATAGACCTTTGATTAATTCGCATAATCACCTTGATCTCGATAATGTTTGACCATTACATTGCTGTGTCATTTGGTGTAGCATGGCCCCTAGATCTCTCCGACACTCCCGACCATCAGGTCTTCAGGTGCCAGGAAGTAAAGAACAAAAAAAAAAACAAGCCGTCCAGATACCGTGTTTAAATGTAATGAATGCGTATAGGGATTTAGGCGCTCAACAGGGACATACTAAACTCAGCAACGTTTGCAAAGCACTGCCCTCTGCGGCAGTCAGTTCACAATCGGCACCGTTTCTTTGGTGTATCGCACTGAATGGTTTCCATCAGATGATAAATATTAAATATAATAGATTATCAAAATTCAAAATAGACGGGTGACGTCGTTCTGAATGAATGAAGGGCGACCAAGGGACAGCAAAAGGGGTCGTTCTGTCCTGCCCTGCCCTGCTCTTGTCCTGTTCTTGTAATTCGCTACTTTTAATCCCATCGTTCATCTTGCACTCCTTTGTTTTATCCTCACCTGTTTGCCTACTCGCTTGCTCTCTTTTCAGCCAAACATACAGTTCTTCATTCCGCCTCATCCTCTGCTCGTGTTTCTCCAGCCTTCTTTCTTTGCACCCCGCTCTCCTCTTTGTCCTCGAACCAAATCAACCCACAAGTGTTCCCTTGACTGCTGCCATCACACTAGGTACTGCACGCCCAATCAATCGCATCAACACCAACCATCTGATCTCATCAATCAATCGATCCCTACAGGCTACTTCGACCCCTTGCTCAACCATCGCCCCTAGGCATCAACTCCCCTTGAAACAATACAGCACACAGAAAGGCTCATCTATCTCTCTTTTGCTGATCCTCTCTCTCAAGTGGATGGCCCGTGAGGCTCTTCTTAACTGGCCTTTTGAACCAGTGTACTCATCTTCGTGTTTGTGTTCACATCCCGACTACTCACACACACTCTCTCGTTCTCTTTCTCTCTATCTTATTTACTCTAGAAGAAACCGCTCTTCAGCTGGAACCCATGACCTCTAAATCATCCGTGCCCCAGGCTGCTGGGGCCCGAGATGGCTCCGCCCCTGAGGGTGACTCGGTCATTCGGTATTCTCGTGAGTTCCTTTTGGAATGTGCCAAAAGCCCTCTTGTCGAACGGCCTGCTGCTCTTCCGCCAATACCAATAAGCATTCGGTTCAGGTATGTCTGGATATCATTGGCTGTGTATGCCTCGCGAGTATATCTTGGACCGAATATCTTATTATCCCTATGATGTTCTACGTTTTCTTATTAGCGAGGTCACAAAAGAAGAACCAGAACCAAACAACGGCACGCGCAAGGTATTAAGGTAACAACCAGCAAGAGTCGAGGGAAAGAGCAGTCTAACATAGACGTTTTTCTACTTGTGCAACGCACGCCATCACTTCTCATCCTCATTGCACTAGGAAGCGATTGTTGATACAGTTGTCATCTAATCCCTGTCTTTACTTTCTCTTTTGTTCACGTTATGCTTTGGTGCGATGCGAAATGGCATTGAAGGAATGACGGTAAACCCCCTATGTCAGGTATGGGATATGCTCTTTAGTTTTTTTTTAATCATGATCTGTCTCATATAACAGTTGAAGCACGTACACTAACCGGGCTCGTTGTTGCTTGACTTGATCAGATCGTATTGTCCTGGGACCTCCCAAAATGAGTTTTGCGTCGTCATCCCTTGGCGGACTAAAACGATCGGAGGACAGCCTCTCTGGACTCAAGAAATCGCTCGAGGTACATGCTTTTTTTTTTTTTGTTGATCTAGCTGTCGAGGCTTTTGTTAAGATATTATTATTGCTGTATACATTGTGTATAATGCTGACCACGATCCTCTGACAATTCAATAGACTCCAAGGGAAAATCGCACTCCACGCGGACCACCAAGCGCTCTGGAGCAGGGATTTGGACGTGAAACGATCGAGAAACTTTCATCTCATAAGCTTCCCAAGGTCACTCCTAAGGATATCACTGGACTCTTGAGTGGCATGGACAGACGGCGGTTGGATCCCTCAAGGAATAGCTCTTCTTTGACAGGTAAGTAACTCAGTAGGCAAACAAGCCCTGTTTATGAACCCCTGCTAGCGAATAGGCCACTAATGGTCATCCCTCGCCTTCTTCCTTTTTCACCAACAGGATCGAGGACATCTACCAACTCAACTACCTCCAGGGTCGGCAGCTTGACAAGGTCCTCAGGACAGCCTCTGTCTTCATCCGCCACCTCCCTCAGCAGTAGCACCAATAACAGTAATATCAACAACAGTAATGGCATTGGCCTTAGCTACAGAACCCAGCGCTCTGATGCTCCAGAGTGGATGAGCTATAACCCAGAATCAGAGAGCATGACCAAAGAGTCCGAAAGCGGCGGTGAGCCTCAGGTGTTTGTAGATGACATTCAAGCTTGGAAGGCCCGCATGAAGGAGCACGAGAGACGTGAGAAGGAAAAGGAGACATCCACTCTAATTCAGCGCGACAATAAGCAGGATCCCAGATTACCCTCGAGAGCTGATAGCAGCTCATCATGGCGATCCAGCGTTTCCATTACGGCTCAGAGCACTGAAGCTATCGCTGAAGCCAAGCAACCAGTCGAGGCGAAGGCGCTTCCTGCATTGGATAAACCCCTCGGAAGAGCGCTGCTGTCAGGCGAACCCATACAGGACATCGACATTTTCTTCAGTCCAGGAGGAATCGATCTCAGCAAGCCTTTCGATTCTTCATCTGCATTCGACAAATTTCTCTCCCAGCACGCCGTCGCGGTGTCGTCCTTTGACGACTCAGCATTACAGAAACCTGCCCGGAAGGCAGATGGGTCGCGCTTTGCCCGCTTCTTTGCTGAGGATGAGCCTGAGCCTGTGAAGGAATCCGAACAACCCGCACCCATGACTCGCGATATGCCAGGAAAGCAGCTATCGCTGGACCAGCTGTTTCAGGCGCATGCACCGACCTCTGCCTCTGTTGCCCCTCCACCTCCACCACCATTGGGACGTATGCCATCGGAAGCCGAGATTTTAGAATCTTTGAAGGTCAACAAGTCGCCTGTCCCGGCTAAGCCTGCGGAGACGAACGAGCAGTCTGAGGACGCTTTCGCCTTCAGTAAGATCATGGCTGCTCTCTCAAAGGTAAGGACTTTTTTTTTCTTGTCAGTATTGGCGTCTACTTTGGATGGGCCGTCAGCCTAACTATCGTCCTTTAATACCCCCTTTCTTTTTTAGCCGCCAGTCAGCGACACCGAGACAGCGTTTGGCGTACAGGCGCTATCTAATGGATCTCCTTCATCCTCGGCATCCATGCATTCGTCAGGAACGACACCAACTCTTCATGACCCGTCTATTGTCACGTTTCAGTCAAAGCCAACATTGCTGGATGCGCTAAGGAAGCCAGCAAGCGAAAGTTCAATGCCACAAGAACCTGTCAGGACCACTTCCTCGTCAGCACCCTCTGAGAATTCGCAATCTCAGGGTTCGAATGTCCCCACAGTGTCGGCTCCGCTCTCCACCACATCATCGGAAACTATTCGACCGGCATCTCGCCCTGTGCAGGTGGCATTTGGTGGTGGAATCCCCACATCGGTGTACCGTCAACTGAGTGGTAAAACTGACGGACAAAAGTCAGCGTCACCTCTGATCCGACCTCTAAGCTCTACAAATGGCAGCAGTATGAACGGTAGTGGGGCAAGCCCATCTCTTTCTTCACCTTCCATGAGTAGCCCACACCAATTCAGCACCCAAGCTGGTATCTCGACACCACAGCTTGGTTCTCAGCAGCAAAGGCCTCAGACGCAATCAGCAAATATGCAGCAGCCATCACAGCCGGTCATTCAGCAACAGCCGCCGCAACAACAGCAGCCTATGAACAAGAACTTCGGGCCGTACAACCAAGGACCCGGAGCTGTCCTTCAGTCACCTGTGATGGATCCTCGGCTAAGCGGCATGTATGGCAGTGGAGGACCATCTCCTATGGGTGGACATGGCCACGGGATGGAGAATGACCCCCCAGGATTCTTCAATGGGATGCCTATACAGCGACCAGGCCAAGGAGTGCCGCCTCAGTTCGCTCAGCAGATGCCGCCGTTCAGCCAACAGATGCATGTGAGCGGGCCGGGGGATTTTATGGCCCCACATCCGTCGCAGTTTGTTGGGATGCCTCCGTTTGGAGCGCCCATGCATCCGGGGATGTTTCCAATGAACCCTGTGGAGATGTTGATGCATCGCGGGCCGGGTGGACCACCCCCACCGCGTCCTATGCCAGGACTGGGACCAGGACCAGGACCTAACCATTTCGTCCCCAATAACTTTGGCCATCCCATGAATGGTATGCCGCATCCTGGTAGGGCCCAAGCTTCATTATTTTTTTTTTATTTTTTTTATTTTTTTTGTGGCACCAATGGTTTTTTATGGCTGTCGATGATTTTTGTGGGTGTCAGTGCGTTCATCAAGTGAAGGGATGTCTAATGGCTTTTTATTAATTCCTGGACCACTCTTGACTGTGTTTTTTATGATAGGGCTCCCAATGAACCCTCCTCCTTTCTTCCCGCCTCAGGTTTCGAAGCCGATGATGACACGGGAGGAATTTGAGCGCAGAAATAGACAGTGATGCTCTAATAAACCAGGAACAAGGGAGGAAGGAAGGGTGTTTGTGGGCGTTATTTTGGAGCCCCTACACCTTTTCGATCGAACTATAACTAAACTGTACGTGTTTGAAGTCTGATCGCCGGCTGAATTGGAGGAAGAAGAACGATCGCTTTGCTCTGTTCTGTTGTGGATCACTAGGGGGTGTTTTCTGCGGTGCAGTCTTTTGGCGTATGATTGCACATCGATACGAGGATCGCAGGGCGGGGGTTTTTTTATGATGGTGCAACCGCGCCGTTGATGTGAGCCCCCTCTCTTTCGACACGATCTAACTCGACTTGGGTTGACTGGAGTCGTCTCTAGGCAGCGGATTGATCTGGAGGCGAGGGGAAGAGTTTTTTATTTAATCATTAGGATGGTGTTTATGTATGTTTGTTTGTATGAATACAGCTTAGCAAGCAACAAAACAGGTAATTAAATGAAAGTGCAGTAGAAAGCAAAAGTTGGAACACAAGCAGGAACACGAGGGCCTAGGGCATGGCCCATGGCCTTTCAGTCCAAGGCGACATTGTCCACTGGAGCAGGTTTAGTGTGTCGGGACCAGGGAGTAAAATTAGGGTGTGTGTGTGGTGGCGATTGTTGGTGCGATTGTTGGTGCTGCTGTTGGTGCTGCTGTTGGTGTTTGTGGATTGTGGGTGGGGGGAGGGAGGCGGCTGTTGTGTTGTTTGAGGGCGTGAGCGGAAAGGGAAAAAAGAGAGTTGCGAGCGAGAGAGAGAGAGAGAGAGAGGGGGGGAGAGAGAGAGAGAAGGCGAGAGAGCTGCGAGAGAGAGGGAAAAGAAACAAGAGAGCCCAGTGCAAGCATATATGCTCAGGTAGCTCAGGTACCACTGGACTTGGCTTGATTCCTCGGAACGCGGCTTTGCATGAGCTCCACTGCAGACTATGGCCAGCCAGGTCGAAGCGAGCATTATCCATCCCCTATTGATTCGCACTCATTCGCATTCATTCATCCAGTCTGTCTATGCAGTCTACTCGGGCCCGGTCTTTTGGTGCGGCGCCCTCTCTCCACTATCGCGCTCTCTCTCTCATTCACGCTCACTCGCTCACACTCTCTTTCTCTCCCCTGCTCCTTCTTCTTTCTCTTCCCTCTCTTCCCTCTCTTCCCTCTCTTCCCTCTCTTCCCTCCCTTCCCTCTCTTCCCTCTCTTTGCCACACCCCTCTGCATCCATTTGCACCCGGTGGCCCCCTTGCCTACACCCTCTAGCGTGCCATCTGTACTGGGCCACTGCTTCGGCCTGCGCTACATCTCCACCCTTCCCCACACTCGCACCCCCAACTGACATCGCCTACCATCTCCTTATGGCAGTGCACAGCACCCTCGCCATCCCCAGTTAGACTTTATCAAACGCCCCCACTCACCCCCACCACCCCTGCACATATACCCTCCCTCTCCACCTCCCTCTCCCTCCTAATGACTTCCCTACCATCCTTCTCCTCCCCCTGCATCGCTCCTGACAGCACCGGTCAACTCCCCTACCTCTTCGGAGTCTCCTCCTCCAGCAGTGGCAATCGTCTGGAAGCATACTCGCTCGACATATCCAACCCTCTCGCACCCACCTCCACCTTCATCTCTGCAACAACAACCCCCGGGTGGGATCCACAGTACAGTCTAGGGTGCTACGCCTACCTGGGCGATCGTCCACCGCCAGATAGTCCCATTAGCCTCATTCAGTTCGGCGAGACCGTCCAGACCTTGTTTTTTCCGAACGGGACTTGGCTCACCTCGATCGGCCAAGGTGCAGAAGGGGCGACGGTGGATTATGTCAGTCCAAAGTATTTTAGCATTGTGGCATCGACAAATGGTTGGAATTGGTTCTTGGCCAGGATGGCAGGGGGTTCCTGGAGAGATCTTCGCATTGGAGCCAACTCTGCGGCGGTATCAACAGAGTGAGTGCAAACCCTTCTTTCTTTCTTTTCTCCTTTCGCTCTTGTGCCTCAGCATTATCTACACTTGTCTTTTTCTCATCTTGTTTCTCTCTCTCTCTCTTTCTCTCTCTCTCTCTCTCTCTCTCTCTCTCTCTTTTTCTCTTCCTCTCTCTTCCTCTCTCTTTTTTTCTTGCCAGTCCGACGATAGCGGGCTCAGATCCACTTCTGACGGTGGGAGCGATTGCGCAGGATATTGGCAACTTTGGAAATGGTCTGCTCTTCGTCTTTGAACAATCCGGAGCTGCCGGAACGGTCTTTCGGGCGACGGGAAATAAACAACCTGACCAGAACCTGACCACCACAACCGGAACCGAATCCTTGGTGACGTTGTCCAGGATTAGTGCTGTAAATATGAATAATACCGTACTTACAGCCGATGCTATACCTGTCAGCTCTGCCTTTGCGGCGTTTATCCTCGATAAGGTATTGTTGAAGGGCGGGGGGATAAAATGGGGTAGAGGGTGGGGGGGGGGGGGGGGGGGGGGGGTGGATAAAGGGAAACCATCATTGAAAAAAAAAGACCGGTTCGATGAACTGTGCTACAAGGTTTCTTTTTTATGCGAGACTAATTTGCTGTGCTATGAAACGTGCGACGCGTTTGGGTACGAACCTTAGGGACCTGGTGGCACGATCTCGGTATTTTCAATCGACCCTCGCTCCTCAACCTCCAGACTGGCCCGCGCATCCATTAACTCCTCATCGCCGCCCTTCCTCTCCAATCAATCGGTTGCTACGCTCAACAGCAAAATCGTCGTCTATGGAGGACTCCTGCAGGATGGAAAAGGATCATCCACTGATGTACATGTGTTCGACGTGATCTCAGGAAGCTGGTCAGGCCCCAGCTTGATCAGCCCCTCCCACTCAAAGGCCGGAAAGATGAGTCCGGGTGTCATCGGTGGAATAGCAGCTGCCGTAGTCCTTGTTCTGATTGCGTTGATCGGCCTCTTCGTTTGGCGGATACGACGCAGGAAGGCTCAGACGAGTGTCCGGAGTCATAGCAGTAATGAGCAACGGGACCGCAATTCGCAAGATAATAAGAACGCGATGATCAATTTGATGAACATGGAGAATAGAGCTATTTCCGCGCCCGGACGGAGCGACCAGCAACGGCAGGATCAGCAGCATATGGATGTAGATTATGAGAGTAGCGTGACCCTTGCAGATGGAGCAGGTATATCCCCTAGAACGACCGCACCGAACACACCCAAAAGTTCAAAAGGACAGGCGGACGGAAAACAGTATCGGACACACTCATCGCGGTCGCGACAGCCCTCGAAACAGCCCTCGAGACAGAATTCAGCACGGTCGACCGAGACGAGTGCCACCCATATCTCGCTCTTCCCAGCGAGCTCGAACGTCTATTTGGTGGATTCACCTTCAATATTACCGCCAATACCGATGATCCCTATGGCATATACGACCAACAACATGCCTCCCCTTCAACTGGTCCAACAATACTCATACAACAATACTTCTGGACAACCTAATGCTTCGCCCTCGAATAGCAGCAAGAAAATGTCGGCCTACAAGGCCCTGGTGCCAGATGACTATGATGATCGCCAGCCTTTTCATCGGACGACAGACAGCGCGTCGGAGGAACGGTTTCTATACCAGCGAATGTCGACGACGGCAGGATCTTCAGGTTCTCCGGATAGCATCAACACTCCTTGGACAGGTGGTGGTGGCAATGGGCAGGAGCCTTCGGAGCGGTCTCGACCGTCACCATCATCGTCGAAATCCAGGATCTATGGCAAGAGTAGCAATAGCAGGAACCTGAACTCTTCAGGATATAATGGCATGGGATCTCCATCTTCCTCACCAAGAACTGCTGCGCAGCGGTATCCTGCAGGTGAGACTATGCTCTTCTCAACATCGGCCTCCTCGCCATCCTCACCTGCGCTCTCGGAGGGCGATCCAAGAAGAACGTCTAAACGGTCGAGCACGACGAAATCAAAGAGGAAGCATATGCCATCGTATCTCCGGTCCAAGACGGATCCATTGCTGAACACAATGTCTGGTCTCGGTTCCGGCTCAGACGCACTAGCGGCAGCAGGCGGCCGTGCGAGTAACAATCCCAAAAGGCGAGACTCAGCAACATACAAAGTTGAGTATAAGGAATCGCGATCCCCCCGACAACAGGCCTCGAATATCTTCTCACATAATGGGTCTGCGTTTCCGGGATCAGCCTCGACGACGCCGACTTTGAAGCCGTCAGAAGCGGATGCAAGGTTCACAGAGGGATTCCCGATGCCCCCGACCCCGACTTTCAAGGATTCTTATTTTTCGGACGGGACCACGGTGTTGCCTTCATTATCGTCGCCGTCGAGTCCGAGACATTCGACGTCGGCGCAGAGACAAAAACAGCATCAGCAGTATCTAGATTGGTATCAGCAACAGCAGCAGATCCAGATAGAGCAGGAACGTGCTGCGGCGATTGCGGCTGCTGCTGCTGCTGCTGTTGCACAGACTCAGCCTCAGACTCAGGTGGTACCAGGGGGAAAGAAAAGGAGTTCGAGCGCACTGCAAAGTCCGAGGACGCCGAAGCTAGGGCTCTTGCCGAGGCTGGCTGCGAAGGATGATAAGGAGTGACAGAATAATAAAAAAAAAAGAGCATCCCCTCTCTCTGTCTCTCATTAACCTTGTCGTGCCTTGACTTTTTTTTTTTCTGGTTATTTGCTACGTTAACCTTGTGCTGACAACAGAAAGACAAGTAGAAAACACCCGCCCCTTTCTCCCCTCCCCCCTTATCATCCCGAAAATCCTTGAGGAGCAGAGTCATTTTCTTGGTCCGTGACAATGGCCTCTTTTCAGTAAATCTCCTAGACCAAACTAGCACAGGTCCGCGTAATTTTCTCTCGGGTCGATTGACCCCGCGAATCTATCAGACCGAACTAGCAATGCTCTACTACAGTCGTCCCTTCCTTCTACCAAAGCAGAACCGATCCAGAGAGGCCAAAAGGTAGGTCACATTCCCGGGCTTGTCGCAACAATTGCCATACCTCATCAGTGTGTTAAAAGCTGAAGACTACGCGTTACAAAAACGGTATCTTCCCCCATTCCTTCCATGGTTGTCAACTGCCTCCTCCCTTGCAGGCAGTCCAGCAGCGTCCGATCCGCAGCACCAGGAGCCAGCGCGGGGGCCAGAGCCAGAGCAGCCTCTGTTTGCATGATCGGCGAGCAATGCACCACAAGGACAGTGGTTGGCGTCGCAAATGTGTCCACTGCCCTCATTCCAGTCTCCCCGAGGACCCTTGCATGGCGCGCGTTTCATCTTTTCATCTTCGCTCCCGAGCAAAAGTCGCGTCGCAGCGTGGTTTCCAGATCTTTTTTTTTTTAATTTTTTTAATTTTTTATTATTGACAAGGATCTTCAACGATATGGGATTTGTAGTCCACAGAGGCTGTGTCCCATAACGTCTCCTACAAGCAGCATATTCACATCCATCCCCGCCTATACCGACACAGACGCCCAAGCTCAAACGGCCCAGCAGGACCGCGTAACTTTTTTTTTTTTTTTTTTATAACAACTTGTCTCTCGAGTCAATTGACTCTGCGAATCTATAAGACTAACTAGCAAAGATCTACTATCGCTGTCCTCACCACCAAAGCGGAACCGATCCACAGTCGCCAAAAGACAGGTCACATTCCCCGGGCCTGCCCCTAGGGCCTGCGCAACAATTGCCACACCTCATCAGTGTGTTAAAAGCTGAAAACACCTTGTTACAAGAAGGGTATCTTCCCCATCCCCTCCATAGTTGTCAACCGCCTCCTCCCTTGCAGGCAATCCAGCAGCGTCCGATCCGCTGCGTCTGGGTCAAGCACGGGGCCAGGGCAGCTCCCGTTTACATGGTCAGCGAGTAATGCACCACACGGACATTGGTCATCGTCGCTAATATATCCATACCCATCACTCCAGTCCCCTCTCGGTCCCTTGTATGGAGTTCGTTTCATCTTGGCTGTGATCCCCCATTCTCGCTCTCGAGCAATGGTGGCCTTGCAGCGTGGTTTCCAGATCAGCTCCGTAGCTTTCTCCTCAATAAAGCCGACGAACTTGTGAATGACCTGGCGCGCAATCGACGATGGCGAGGTAAATAGACTGCCCCACTCCTTGATAAGGCTGACGGGTGTGATGCCACGGCATAAATCGCTGATGCTCCAGGTCAGATCCGGAGAGCGGTCATAATACTCGTCGCCTTTGAGCATTGATCGGGTCCCGGCGATACAGGATAGACCTCGGATGTGGGTCTCGTTGTTAGGACAAACCCATCGAATGGGTTTCGGTGCAGCAGCGGCGGCTCCAGCGCGGATCCTATCACGCTCTTGCTGCTTCTTGCTGTTCTTGTTGTATGCGGTCGTTGCAGCTCGTCCCCATTTATCAATCTGCTGCAGCCCTTCGCGCCAGATCTCCTTGTGGACATCTCTAGTAGCACTGCACGTCCACAGGTGATGGTTGTCCTCGTCCTGAACATCGCAGACGCAGCAGACACGGTCAGGATATAGACTCGGTGTAATAGCTCTAGGCAGTCGAGGGCAGGGGTAAGGATGGAAAGGGTTGGAATGCGTGCTGTATTAAGATGGCAACTAGCTGGTCTATATATCTATGTCTACGGTCCGGTTCCGGCCCGGTCGGTTGTCTATAGCCGGGGCCCCAGTCCTTTCGGAGTCGGGGCTATAAGCGGGGTTATCCTGTTACACCTTCCCATTAAAAAAATAATTTTACAGTCTATGCTGTTTCTTGTACTGCCGTAAAAGTCGCGCACAGTTGGTCATATTGCTCTCTGGTTCCCATGTGGAGTCCTCCCTTGCATATCCTTGCCACTTGACCAGGTACTCCACGCGATTGTTGTTGTTTCGATGCTCCATGATCGTCTCAGCCTCGTATTCTTCCTCGCCATCAATGATCTCTGGTGCTGGCCTCGCATGTGCACGTCGGCCGAATGTCACCGGTGAAGGTAAGTAGGGTCGAAAGCGGTCAACGTGGAATATATCGTGTATCTTCATGGCCGGGGGTAGCTCAATGCGGAAAGAGACCGGTGAGTGCTGTTCCAGGATGGTATAAGGTCCGATGAAGCGTGCCTGCAACTTCTTGGTGGGGCGATTCCTGTCAGCAGCAACAGTGATGTCTTCTGTACTCAGCAGCACCTGGTCTCCAACTTTGAAATCGTGATCACGGCGACGAGAATCCGCATTCTTGGTCTGCCGTTCCTGAGCATCTGCGATGGCCTCTTGCGCGAGGACTAATGCTGTGCTCTGTGCCTCTACGAATTCCATGACACTGGGATTGGGACTGGGCTGAGGTTGTAGCAGAGACGACGGTACGCGTGGGTGAAATCCCAGGTTCAAAAAAAATGGGGACTGGCCAGTGGTGGCATTGCTGGAGTTGTTGTAGGCGAACTCAGCGGCGGATAGGAGTAGATCCCAGTTTGTCTGTCGCTGGTCCACGAAGGCGCGTAAAATGGACTCCAGTGTCTGGTTGGCACGCTCGGTCTGTCCATCGGTCTGAGGGTGGAAGGCGGTCGACATGGCCAGCTTGACGTCCATGAGGCGGTGTAGCTCCTTCCAAAAACGACTGGTGAACTTAGTGTCGCGATCAGAGACGATCGAGGTCGGCATGCCGTGCAAGCGAAAGACGTTGTCAAAGAACTGTCGAGCTACGTCGGATGCTGTGTCGGTGGTGTGGGCTGGGACGAAGTGGACCTGCTTTGACAGTTTGTCGACGAAGACCGTGATGGAGTCATAGCCGCGAGGAGTCTTGGGTAGCTTGACAATAAAATCCATCGTCACCGTCTCCCATCGCTGAGTAGGGATCTCGAGGGGCTGGAGTAGACCGGCAGGTCGCTGGTGGCTGGGCTTGTTCCGTTGGCAACTCTCACAGGTTTGCACGTACTGCCGGGTGTCACGTGCGATGTGAGGCCAGTACACAGTGCGACGGAGTGCATCGTATGTCTTGTCGAAACCAAGGTGACCGGCGATGGCGGAGTCGTGGGCATCGTGAAGAAGAGAGAGACGAATGTCAGATTTCTGGGGGATGCAGACAAGGTTGTCTCCTCTGCGATCAACACAAAGAAGACCATCAATCAAGCGGTAACGCGGTGGTGTACTTCCCTCGAGGCAGCTTTCATAGATGGGACCGAGCTTGGGGTCGTCCCGGTAGCTGTCTACAAGGCGCTGCCTCAAACCTGAATCCAGCTGAACGGTCATTGAGTTGATGTTGACTGCAGGGGGGTCTTGGTCATGATGGTCCGGTCGTCGCGATAGAGCGTCGGGAACGATATTGTCGACTCCACGCTTGTACTTGAAGTCGAAGTCGTACTCCTGCAGCAACTCCATCCATCGTGCCTGGCGTCTAGTTAACTTGGGTTGGGTTGGGAAGTGCTGAAGAGTAGCATGGTCGGTGTAAACGACAAAATGTGTCCCGTCCAGATAGTATCGCCATGTCCGAAGTGCGTGCACAACCGCCAATAGTTCCTGTTCGTGGGTGGGATAATTGCGTTCGGCGCTGTTCAGTTTGCGGGACGTGAACGCCACGGGTCTTGACTCACCATGTTCATCAGTCTGGAACAAGACAGCGCCTAGCGCGAATCCAGACGCGTCGGTTTCAACTGTGGTTGGTAGATCGGGATCGAATATTCGCAGCACAGGTGCTTTGCTGATCGCCTCCTTCAGGGTGGTGAAAGCGCGTTCTTTGTCCGTGTCCCAGGAAAATTCCACGCCTTCACCTAACAGAGCCGTGAGAGGGAGAGCGATGTTAGCAAAGTTGTTGATGTATGTGTGGTAGAACTGTGCGAGGCCAATGAATTGTTGCACGTCCTTCTGCTTCGATGGGCGAGGCCATTCCCTGATAGCCTTGACGTGGCCGGCGCTGGTGTGGATGCCATCCTTTGAGATGACATGTCCGAGGAATTCAGTTTCTTCTTGCATGAAGGAGCACTTGCTCAACTTCGCATAGAGGCCGTTCTTGCGGAGGAGCGCCAGCACACTTCGGATGTGGGCAATGTGCTCTTGTTTCGTCTTGGAGTAAATAAGAATGTCATCAAGATAAACAACAACCCATTTGTCTAAAACCGGATCCAAAACCTTGAACATCATGTTGGAGAAAGATGCAGGAGCATTAGTGAGACCAAAGGGTACCACATTGAACTCGTAGTGTCCGTACCGACAGCGAAATGCTGTCTTGTGCGTATGAGGCTCAAATATCCGTTGCTGATGGTATCCTGACAGCAAGTCCAGTTTCGAAAAGTATCGTGCCCCTCGGAACCTGTCGATGAGCTCGTCGATGCGAGGGAGCGGGTGGCGGTTCTTCCTTGTGATTCGGTTGAGTCCACGGTAGTCAACGCACATTCGGAGCGCACCATCCTTTTTTCTGACGAAAAGGACGGGCGCGCCATAAGGCGATGTGCTGGGCTTAATGAATCCTTTGGCGAGGAGGTCGTCGAGCTGTCTCCTGAGCTCGTCCAGTTCCGCAATAGAGAGGCGGATCACAGGGCGGAATGGCGGGTCTGCGTTGGGGTCAGTCTCGATTTTCATAGCATCCCCTCGGTCTGGTGGTAGACCGGCGGGGAGTGAGTTGGGGAA